GCCCAGTAACAGGGGCATGTTTGGGTGAAATGTCACCATGATGTAAAGGTTTCGGTCCCATGGGGTGACACATTGGTGCCTGCTCATCCACAGAGCCACCATCTGACCCCAGGGGGCCAGTGCCTCAGCTCCACTGAGCCCGGCAGTCTTACCAAGAGGCAGAGGAGGGTAAAGAAGATTGCAGAGGGAGATGGGGTTGTTGGTGGGGGCCCATCCCTGCGTGGGTGGTGACAGGAAATCCATGGGGTAGCAGTGCGAAAGGGCTGGGAGGTCAGATGAAGCTGTGTTTCCACCTGGGGTGGAATCTTGGGCAGGTTTCTTAAACAACAGAGGCCTCAGTCTCCTCCCCTGTGAAATGCGAGAGTGGAACCCAAACCCCTGGGTCACTGGGACGTGAATTGAGAAATGCAGCGACTGGCACACAGTAGGTCTCCCACAGTGTACACCCCCGCCAGCCTCCCTGGGGGGAGCATGTACTTGTCATTGGAAAGCTTCGGGCAGCCTTGGGCAGTGTATATGTCTCATTTGTAAGAAGTTTTTGCTTTTTATTGTAATGGAAAAGGGACCAAAGTACTTTGGCCTTAAGCTCTGAATGAGCCGTTTGGGTGGCAGAGGCTGAATGGTCTGAGCAGGTGAGGGTGCTGGCATTGGCCATGAAGTGGGCCCAGCCAGTGGGCTTGCTGCTTTGACAGAGCACCGACTGTCACTGCTAGGTCCCGGCTGGAGCCTTGCCTCCGCCTCTTACCTCCTAATTTGCCTCTCTGCTTCCACCTTGCCTCCTTCCAGATAGTGCCCAGTGGGATGTTTGGAACATAACCCTGTTCGCCCACTTACCTGATGCATGTATCAGTGTGGTAGGGCCGCTGCAACCAAGGACTGCAGGCTGGGTGGCTTAAAGAACAAACAGTTTTGCCCCACAGCTCTGGAGGCTGAAGTCTGAGATCAAGGTGTCAGCAGGGCTGGTTCCCTCTAGCACCCCTCTCCTTGGCTCGTAGACAGCTGTCTTCACCCTGCATCCTCACATGGTGTTCCCTCTCTGTGTGTCTGTGTCCTAATCTCCTCTTCTTATAAGGACAGCAGTTGTATTGGATTAGGGCCCACCCCGTGACCTCATTTAACTCAATCACATCTTTAAAGGCCTGATCTCCAAATACAGTCACACTCAGAGGTGCTAAGGGTTGGGGCTTCCACATATGAATTTAGGAGAGACACACACGCTCAGCCCAGAGCCCTGGGCTGGTTCCCCTGTGCCAGCACCATGCTGGGCTCTGGGAATGCAGATGTGAGTGAGACACAAGCCCTATCATTGCTATGATTCTGCTTCAGTCTTCAGTGCTCTGCTGCTTAGACTTAGCAGGAACATCAAGACCTGGGCCTTGCCCCTCGCCAGCATGGGCCCCCAGGCACCCTAAGCTCCAGTCAGACCACCCACTTGCAGACTCAACAGAATACTGGACGTGCCGCCCAGCATGGTGCTGCAAATGGGGTGACCCAGGGCAAGCCTGTGTGTCCCAGGCCAGCGATTGGCGCAGATCAGAGAAGGTCTCAAAGAAACTTTTTCTCTTCCCTCCTTTCACGGTGTTTTCTCCCAATGGGAGGTTCCAGGAAACCCCATGGTTCTCCCAACTCTAAAACTCCCACTAAGGCTTTTTCAGGTCCCTTTGGAACCTTCTAGGGAAGGACAGTCTATAGGCCCTGGAGTGTGGGGCTCCTTTAATGTTCAGTGTGAATGAAGATGGCTTCACTTTGGAATAAGGTCACACTTGTTCGGGGGAACATGCCAGAAGGATACGCTTGGGACCCGCAGTTGTTTCACTGCCCTTTCACACGTTGGCATTTTGCTTTGTTTTAAAGTGGACAAGTATGAAGGACAGGGTGCATTCACCACCTAGGTCCAGACTCAGAGGACACCCTCACTGGCTACAGCGTGGTGTAACTGCTTCGCAGTTTCTGCCAACTCAGCCTGTCTGCCTAGCTAAGGTGAACAGGAGTTGACACTTCCAAATGTGTTTGCAATTTTAAAGTAGAAATAACATTCTCCTTCCCAGTTCCACTGTCCTCAGCCCCTGGAGTCAACCATCACCATGAACTTATTCTGATTCAGTCCTGGATTTACCATACAAACACACACATACACAAGTGTGTGCAAACACAAAGATACAGACATGCGTATATGCATATATATGTAATATATGCATATAACATATACATATAGATGTTTGTATATACATGGACATGCATATCCAAAAATATACAAAATATTTACATGTTTTAAAATGTATATAAATAATACAATTAGCATAATATCCTACAACTTGCTTTTTTAACCCAACACAGTATTTGAGTTTTATGCTGACACCCACACAGCTCTAGCTCATCCCTTTTGCCTGCTGTATAATGTTCTACCTCGTGCCTGCCCAACGACTTATTTACTGATTATCCCTACTGATAGTTGTTTGAGTTGTGCCCATTGGCAGTATAAATCAAGCCCAGGTTTTAGTCTGGCTGAGCCACAGTTGAGTTATATAAGCAGTTCACATCTCACATTTGCGGGTGCCCCTCCCTTCCAGCTGCATAAGCGTAAAGAGCAAGTTGAGTGTGGTCATGATGCCAGTGTGGACGATCTGTGATGTCAGTCCTCGCTCACTTCGTCTCGAATCTTGATCCAGCGTCAGTATGTTTGGCATTGCTTTCAGCCTGGCCTTCTGCAGCTGGGAAATGCTCATATATGGTGGTGTGACTAACCTGAGAGAGAAACGGGGGACCCCGAGGGGTTCTGCATTACTGGGTTGATTCCCAGTGGGGCGAGTGAGCACGCAGAAGTCCTCCCCGCCGTCCCCGGGGCCCTGCCCCAAAGGGAACTCCGTGGCAGGAAGGCCACATGCAGCCCATGCCAAAGAGAGCCCGGCCTCCCCTCTGGATGGCGGCTATTTTTATCTGAAGCGCGGGCTCAGTCAGGACCCTGGAGAGTTTCCAGGGTCGGAGATGGGAACTGCCTCTTTCCCATAGCTCCTCGGCTCTGCCCAGCCTCCTGGGATTCCCGGCTCTGCTCCTCTGCTCTTTCAGGCGACTCGTTCCCTCCCTGCCCTGCTGTGTCTTGCCCCTGAGGATGTGCTCTCCTGGCTGCCATCTTTCAGTCCCAGCTAGCCTGACTGGTGAGCACTGGTGAACACTAATGTGGATGAAGACCAGGATCGAGGCTCCCAGGATTCTGAGTGGGTCAGCTTGGAGGCACGGCTGCCACCCTTCCCACCCAGGGAGCCCCCTCCTCCAGCTCCCTGTAATTTCTTCAGTCATCTCTCACCCACTGGCTGGGGACTGTGGCTCTTCTCACCTGTCTCCTCAGGGTCTAACACACAATCAGTGCCCAGTAACGGTCATCGGGTGACTGACCGACTCTCCCTTGGGAGTAAAGCAGAGGCGAGAGATATAAATGAACACACTCAAGCCCTGCCTGGATCAGCTGACAGCCAAGAGGAGGACCACAGCTGGTGGCCCTATAGTGGAGGTGAGACCCCTCGGAGCTGTCACACCTGCATTCCAGTCCTAGCATCTGTGCCTACCAGTACAGAGCCTGGTGCCTGTGGTGTCACTACTCCAAGACTCAGCTTTCGCATCCGTGAAACAGGAGTGAAGGCAGGCCGATCCCTGGGTTGTCCTGCGATTGGGGATGGTGTGAATGATGTGACCGGCCCACGTAGATGCCCAGGAAAGATTTTTAGAATGAATAAAAGGCACAGTGAAAGCTCATCTAATCCCGGCCCTTGGAATTTTCAAGTGAGTAGGTGTATTCAAAGACTAATGTAGCTCTTCCTCAGTTGAGTGCCGGGGAAGAAATGTTAGTAAGAGGATTATTTGGGGACTTGCAGAGCAAAGGCAAGGAAAGGCCATCAAGACCCTTGAGAAAGAAAGTGAGAGCACTTTCTTTCCTGCAGTTGGCACCATGGATCTCTGGGACAGTGAATCCCACCAATGCGACCCCACAGCCCCACAGCCCCACAGCCCTGACAGATGTCAGGGCTGGGCTTCCAGGGACGCACTTCAGGAAGCATGGCTCCAAGATGAGGCCCTGAAGGTCTGGGAGTTCCAGCCCACCCTCTTCTTCTGTCCCCTGCAACTGCTGTTGGCTTTGTCAACCAACAGGAAGTAACCATCCTGATGCGTTTGTTGGGAACTGATTACCCACACAAACTGCTAACTGAGTAGCCAAAAGGGAAGCACCTGCCAAGTGTCTGGAATGGGCTCATCATCAGACAGGAGCGGTGAAGGGAGGCCACGTGCTTGGTTGGTGAGTGGGTTTGCCAGGCAGGTTCGAGGGTGAGACTGGGGGACATGGCACCCCTTGGAGGTCTTCCCTCTTTCCCCTGTCACTTCCTCCAAGGGTCAAGTCAACAGGTGCCTTGTTGCTCGGTGGAGCACGCAGCTGGGTGGGGCCCTGGCTGGGCCTGGTGGTGCGCTGGAGTGTGTGACTACTATGGGGGTGGGGCTGGTGGAAGGGCTGTGATAAGAGGAGCCTTGTGCAGCCATGAGTCTGGGGATGCCTGTTAGGTAACATGGTAAACCACCTTAGGTAAACTGAGTCTCACTTCACGGGGACCGGGAAGTTGGCTACCAACGTTTGTTCAGGGCAGGTCCTTTGGGGATGTGAAATGACCGCATCAATGTCCTTTGGGAGCAGGGGACAGAACTTAACTCAGGCTGTAGGCCCGCCTGAGTCCTGAATGAGTAGAAACGCTGGCTCGAGATGACAGAAGATGGTGATGGGAGAAACGGGGTTCAGGAGAGACTGTGGCAAGATGTCCTTTGTGGAGTCCAGCAGCTAGCCTCACTGGAAGCCCTTCCTGTCAGTGGGACTTTGGTTACTGAGCTCCCATGAGCCTCAGTTTCCACATCTGCAAAGAGGGAAGAACGTTGCCTACTCCATTCACTGCTGAAGCCATCGCGAGAGCTGGTCTAATACTGGCTGATGTTTTCTCCCGCTGCCCTCTGCTTCCTTCCAGAGCTCCCGAGCACCCAGCTCTGCCCCCGGAACCCAGGCTGCCGTCCCTCCTGTTCTTGCTGCCAGAGAGGAGCCATGAGCTGCACCCTGAATGGCCTCATCCCCTTGGGGCTGCTGGTGCTGGTCTGTGGGGCCCGAGGCTTTTTCCTGCCCAATGTCACACGCTTAGAGAAGCTGCTCAGTAAGTACCAGCAGGACGAGCCCCAGGCCCGGGTCCGCAGGGCCATCCCCAGGTCGGACCAGGAGGAGATCCTCATGTTGCACAATAAGCTGCGGGGCCAGGTGCACCCTCCGGCCTCCAACATGGAGTACATGGTGAGTGCTGGCTCCCCAACCGGGGCGGGAGGCCCGAGCTCTATCTGTCCTGTCCGCAGTCACTGGGTATGTGGCAGGCTTGGGGGCTTGGGCGGCAGAGGGCCCTTTGCCCCTGTTCTTGACCCCCCACCGAAACAGCACCTGTGAGTTCCCCAGCAGAGGCTGCTTCGTGGCCAGCTCCCCGTGGCACCCCTCTGGGGCTCAGCCCCCAAACCCACCCTGAGCCTTCTACCAGGCCCTCCAGGAGGTGGGTGAGGAGAGTCTCAGGGCTGGGCTCTGCCACCTCCTAGTGGTGTGGCCTGGGCATCGGCCAGTCTGAGCTTCAGTTTCCACCTTGAGGGTATGTCCTGTCACAGTTCCTGCGACAACAGAGCACAGACCCCCTTCAACGGCACCTTCTCTGTGAGAAGCGAGTGTGGCCGAGTCTGAGATGAGGCGTCTGTAGGAAAGGAAAAGGCACAGAAGGCCCAGTGGGGTGCCCTTGGACCTGGAGAAATCCCACTGAGGAACAGAGGGGACAGGCAGCTCTTCCAGGTCCGGATCTCCCGCCCTGTCTTTGCTCACGTGTTTCCATCCCCATCAGCACCTGTTCTCATCCCCTGCCCCAGGAAGTGGGCGGGGTTATTTTGCCCATTTAATGGGTTAGGAAACTGAGGCCCAAGGCCACACGGCTGGCAGTGCCAGAGCCAGAGTCAAACCTGGGTCCAGCTGGCTCCAGGACCTGTGCCCTCAGCCACCACTCTGCACCCAGTGAAGCACCCCTCCCACCAGTTATCATTCCTTTCCAACCCATCTTCCCATCCTGCTCTGGTCTCACCTTGATTAATGGGACAGCCTCAGCGCTGGGGGAGGGGGTTGCCACCCCTCATTCTGAATCCTGCCGTCACGTTACGCTCCCTGAATCTTCATTTTTTCCGCTCTTTCTCCAGCTCAGGAGCTTCCAGGGCCCTCTGTGCCCAAAACGAGGCCTGGGTGCTGCTTGCCTGGCATCCGAGGCTTCTAGCAGGAGCTCCGTCTCTTCATGACCTGTTTCCCTCCCTCCCCTTTGGCCAGAGAGGTCTTCTGGGTGTCCTCTGATGATACTGTGTGCGCAGCCACTGCCCCCTCCCCCGCAAGAGCACTTTCCCACCATCGTTTTCCTCGTCCTGCTCCTCTGCAGCCCTCCCCACCGGCCACACTCCTCCCTGTCCCCTGGACTAAGCTGTCCCTTTTCACGTTGCCGTGTGCCCCGGCATGGGTAGTGCCCATGGTTGGGGAATGTCCCATGTGTCTCTGAGCCCCTCACTGTCCCTGCATGTGCCCACACTAGGTGGCCCGTCACCAGCTGTAGGGAAGAAGAATGGGCCATTCTCCTGGGCAGAGCCCTGCTAGTAAGGTTTTGGGAACTCGTGACAAAACATTCTTTCCCCCCCTCAAGAAAATTGGCCAGGCATTTATTCTAAAGGGGCTGTGCTAATTTTAGGAGGAAGAAGGGGTGACCTTTCTAAATGCATGGGCAGCTTATGGAGACCTTTTTAGGGGTAGAGTTGTAGGAAATTAGGGTAGATTTCTTTGCAGCTTTGGAAAGAGACTTCTTCCCCGTCCTTCCCTGGACATGATGCTTTGGCCTTGGTCTCCATGGGGAAAGGACGCTCTGTACCTTTCTCTGCATGGGTCATCCTGCACCCTGTGCCCTTCCACCCTGGGGCCCGAGGGGTGCCCCTAGGGAGCATGTACTTTCCCCAGCCCGAAGCTCACAGAACCCCAAAGTCCCAGGGTCCTGGCTGCCTCCCACCTCTGCTGGAACGGGCTGGGTTTCTGCTGGTCTTCTGGTGGCACTGAGCTTATTGAGAGGTTGTACGAAAGATTGGGGCAAGTGAAGGGAGCTTAGGTGGGCAGCAGGCGAGCTTGGGCTTCCAGGACAGCCCATGACGAGCCTGTTTACTTCTCTGTGTTTACTTCATGGTGTTTCAGGATTAGAGTTGGGACCTGGGTCCTTAGGTCTAAATAACCCGCCTGTCAGGGACACTGGGCCTTCAGGGCCATTGTCAGGGTCGCCTCCCTGCAGGGCCATTCAGCAGGGAAGGTGGTCAAGGCTCAGCCCTTCCACCCCAGCATGTAAGGCCCAGTGTTGACCCCTCCCCACTCCTCCATTCAGGCTTTTCTCGGACACTGGAGAGATCCCAGGCAGCAGTAGTCCAGGGCTTGGTGGGCACAGAAGGTGCGTGCCGTCGGGGGGGATGAGTGTGAGCATACCACTAGGTCCACTGCAGCTCAACGGGAGGTGGGTCGGGGTGTGAACAGGTCCTCGGGGGCTTTGCCCAAGGGTAGGACCTGCCCTGGGGTGTTGAGGAGTCTTGGTTCTCTTGCTGGGGAGAGGCAGGAGGAGGACAGGGAAACAGGCAGCTTCATGACACTCCATCCTGGGGTCTCACGGCTGGTTTACCCAGCCTCCTATTCCTGGATGGGTCCCAGGGCTCTGCCCAGACAGCCTGTCATTGGGCACCTACTGTGTGCCAGGGGCCGGGGCTACCCAGAGCGGGGACGGCCCCTGCCTGCCCGTGAGCTGGAGCATCTGTCCCGTGACTCTGGGAGGAGGCGTCGCAGCAGCTGGTTTGCAGTCGGCTCCGTGGGCCGCTTGGCATCTGTTCCTCTGCAGAAGAGGAATGACCCCGCTTGCTTTGTTCTCTCTCCGTGTTCTTTCCTGAGGAGTTATGTGTGTTCCCCAGGCCAGCTGGGAGGCGGGACCAGCTGCAGAGCTGTCTTCAGATTCTTTGGCCCAGCCCCCTGCCCAAGGCCCCTGATTTGGGGTGGGCATGATGCCAGAGGGGAGCAGTGCTGGGCAAGTTAAAAGCATTTGTTGCTACTTATTTTTGAAAATAATGGTAAAATATACATAACATAAAATTTACCATCTGAACCATTTTTAAATACACCGTTCCGTAGCATTGGGTACATTCACGTTGGTACGTAACCGTCACCACCATCTGTCTCTAGGACTTACACATCCTCCCATTTCACAGGTGAAGAGACTGAGGCTGAGAGGACAGGGACTTACCAAGGTCACTGGCAAGTTAGAGGCGGAGCAGGAGCTCTGAGGACGGCCTTGGAGACAGGCTCCTCTGAGTTCTTTGCCGACCTTCCACTTCCCACTTGCTGAGCTAGGGGCTCAGCCATCATATGCACATGACCCAGTGCCGTAGGAGCTGAACCCAGCCCCTGGTCTACCAGGAGCCACAGTGGGAGGCGACAGTGTTTTTGGTTCTTATACCCATCCTTGACTCTGAAGGTGCTCGCTTCTCCTCCCCCTGCAGACCTGGGATGAAGAGCTGGCGAGGTCGGCGGCAGCATGGGCCCACGAGTGCATCTGGGAGCACGGGCCCACCAGTCTGCTGGTGTCCATTGGGCAGAACCTGGCTATCCACTGGGGCAGGTAAGAGCCGTGTGGTCCCCTTGACTTGTGAACTGGCTGCCAAGGCTGAGCACCTACTGTGTGCTGGACTTGGTGCTCAATGTCCATGATCACATTTAGCCCTCATGATCACCCACTAAGAGAGAGAGACCTCCTGTGTCATTTACGGGTGGGGAAAACTGAGGCTCTGGGCCCCAGAACACTTCCGAGTAATTGGTGAAATGGGCGTGAGCCTGGGTGCCGACTCCAGACACTGATCATTGACTTGGGGTTTCTAGGCTGTGAGCTTTCCATTCCATTTCCTTGAAAGGGTTCGTGAGTCAGTCGCAGCTGGCCAGGAAGGAGCTGGCTAGGCAGGCTGGGAGGATGGGAATGTTTGCTCCTTCAGCGGCGGGTCAGTGCTCTCTTCTCCATCCCGGCACGTCCAGGTTCTGCTCACTCTTTAAGGCCAGGCCAGGTCCCACCTCCTCTGGGAGGTGCCCCTCCTCCCCTTCTTGTCTGGCCACAGTGGGGCTCGTTCACACCGCTGAACCTCCGAGGCCTCCTGGCCCTGCAGCGCCTTTGTCCCCTTGCCTGTGGGAGGCACTCGGCAGTGGTCAGTTAAATGTCATTGCCTGGCCTTCCCCAAAGTCAACTGGGTAACGTACCCGCGCAGCCTGCCTGGCTGAAAGTCCCCTTCAGCCTCGGGGCTCGCTTCATTAGAGGAGGTAGAGAAGATGACCTCTGACCAGTTAAGACTTACTAACCCGCGGTCAGCGTGCAGTGCCCACAAGTCCTCTGCATCGGGACCCAGTGGTGGCCAGGGTCTCAGGGGCCGCTTTCCTTTTGTCCTATTCATCAGAAAGTCAGACTGGACTTGAAATATCCCCCCAAAATACAGGCCAGAGTCTGTGTGACTCTAACCCAGATGTCTCCCAGCTCTGGACGCTCTGGAGTGGAGTCTGGCCACGAGCAGCTGCACCTCCCACAGGGCAGTTCCTTTTCAGGGCCATACCTGGGCCGACGTCACGGGGGATCGAAAGAGATATGACTTCCTAGAAGCAAACTGACACAGTATTGCTCTCCTCTGGTGAATTCTGCTTTTTATAAAATCAGTCTGCGATAGCATGAGACGAAACTGTCTGCGGGGGAAGAAATCCATCATTGCACTGTTCTGGTTCCCCGGCTTTCGTTTTCTGGGCTCCTGTGTAGCATTTGGCTGCGGGCCGGAATATTTTTACATAGTTGTAACTGTGGCCAGGACAGCTTTTAATTCATTTTTTTCCTTCTCATATAATACCAAACAGTTTTTCTATTACATAATCATTGTGGTTATCGTCTCCTAAAGGCTGCCTATGGGCTATCGAGCGGACAGGCCAGAATGTAGTCATTCTATCCTCACAGCCTGCTTTTTTTTGTTGTCGTTGGCTCGTTTGAATTATTTTATTAGGATAACTCTGAGGAGTGGCACTCACGTGGCACCAAGGTTTCCCCCTTCTGGGCGAAAGCTGCTCACTGGCTTTCCCTGGAGGCCCCCATTCTCAGGGCCCCCACGGCACCCGCCTGTCCCGAATCTCTGGAGCTTCTTCCCTCAGCTGGCTGCAGGCAGACAGGCTGGTTCCCCGGCCACGTCACTGACCACTGCCGCTCGCCCTGGGCCCTGACAGTAATTGTTACAAGCCCTCTAAGTGCCCATTCACTGCAGCGCTCTTAGGCACGGCCAGTCCCCCTCGCCGCCTTTCTCTTTACTGAAACCGCTTTGTTTACACTTACTGGAGAGGGCGACCTGGGATTTGCACCCAGTTTATTTTCTTTCCTAAGAAAATAACCAGTGCCAGCCTGGTGGATGGGGCCGAAGCGAGGGGCAGCGGCCACCAACGATGATGGCCCTGGGCCCTCCTCACTGCTGGGGCGAGGGAGGCTCAGTGAGAAATCCTAAATAGGAAGTTTTCTAAAGGGTTTGCACACTAGACTGCAGAGCTCTGCATACCTACAGGTTTCCATGCCCTAAATGAGTTTCCTGCCTTGCATTTGAGTCTTTGGGTGCCCCCACACTGGTGGCCAAGGAACAAAGCTGGTCATGACCATCCGTTGGTGGGTGACGGGGGCCCATCGGCCTGGCCCCCATAGCCAGCCACTCCCCAGCTTCCACACCCTTCCCTGCCTGCCATGCTGGGTGTCTCATCTGTGCGTCACCTGTTCAACTATTTATTCAATTTTTTTCTACATTGGCTTTGAATGGATTCATGTCTTAAATCGTTTTGTCTTAAGCAATAATACCTTTGGAATATGGGGTTCTTGGGCCGCATACATTTTCTCAAATGCACATGAAAATAAGCACATAATTGTGTTCAATTGTTTATTTTCAGTGAGTCAAAAAGGACTCATTGGGGGTCAGGTAAAAGTCTCCTGAACACACAGGTGGCATGTGGGACACCTGAGGGACACTCCTGGAACCCAGGAAGATTCCAGGGATGCCCACAGAAGCTCCTTGGCAATTTGGGTTGTAAGCATTTTTAACAGGTGCTCGGTGAGATTTGGGGCTATTGTCCCTGAAGGAGCCCCTCCTCCAGTCTACCCCCCGGGTGGTGGTGCCAGCTGTGGTCTCCATTGTTGGGTGTGTGGTGGCCAGGACATAACAAGCTGGTCTCTCCCCACAGGTATCGCTCTCCCGGGTTCCATGTGCAGTCCTGGTATGACGAGGTGAAGGACTACACCTACCCCTATCCCCATGAGTGCAACCCCTGGTGCCCAGAGAGGTGCTCTGGGGCCATGTGCACCCACTACACACAGGTAACTCGGGAGGAGTGGACCTTGGACTCAGTCCAGCATCCCCAGACCCAGGCGCTCTTTGGCCCTGCAGGACGGTTGCCCAGTAGGAAAACCTCTACTGTCATTGCCTTAGTATTTTCCTTTAATTTGGTGCTGTTCGAAGTATAGCTGGTGGATCGCGTGGTTTGTGACCGATTCACAGCTAGAACACTGAAACTAAGCTCTAGAAACTTCTATGGCACTTTTACACACTGGGACATTTTCCTCATGTGTGGTTTGTTTGTTCTGTTTTTTGTTTTGTTTATTTTTAAACAAATGTATAAATCTTCAGTGGGCTGGGGGGAAATCTGGCCCTCCATCCCTTCACCACATACCCCTTTACCACCAGCACCCTACAGATCCAGGCCAGGTTATGACACCCTGGTGTGCCTTGCCCCTTAGTTCTGATGAATGCATGTTGCCTTTCCAGATCGTTTGGGCCACCACCAACAAGGTCGGCTGTGCTGTGAACACCTGCCGGAGGATGAACGTCTGGGGGGACGTTTGGGAGAACGCGGTCTACCTTGTCTGCAATTACTCTCCAAAGTAAGTACAAGTTGCCGTGGTGGTCTGGGGTGGGATGTTTTTGCCAGCTGTGGAGGACCCAACTAAGCCTGTCTGACACAGTAAATCTCTTCATTATTTCACATAACAAGGAGTCTAGAGGTTGTGTTTCAGGGTAAGCTTAAGAGATCAGCAGTGTCAACCAGGACTCAGACTCCTTTCATCTTCCTGCTGTACTATCCTCTCCTCATTGGTGTCAAAGTGGCTGCCAGGCACTGTGCATCATGTCTTCCCAAGCAGCAGGAGGGAGAATGGTAGAAAAGAGCTCTCTCCTTGGGTCTTTCTCACCCCTGGCCCACTTTCTCCTTATGTCATTGGCTAGAACTCAACCACTTGCAGACAAGGGGGAAACAAGATTGGCCCATTTGGCTTTGACCAATGGAATTGCCCCGGATGACTTTGCAGGTCTCCTCTGGGACCACCTGAACAAATCAGAAGCAGCAATAGCTCTGACTGGGCAACAAGTGGGGTCTGTCAGTGGTATTACTCTTATTTCTTTCTCTGAAAATATGCAGCAGATAGCACTCTAGAAAGCAGGTAGTATTCATGTAGACTGAGTTTTTGCATCTTTATATGTCCCCCTCTCTGAAGGGACCACATCAAGTCTTTATATGTCATAGCCCTTCTTCCTCCTTACACAGCCTGGTGCCATTGGTGTGTCACTTATCCCTTTGCTCATTCGCCTCCATCACTCATCAGACAAATATGTGCCGGTTCTCGCAGAACTGCTCGCCTGGCTAATGGCCTGCGGTTAGCACGCTGGCCTCCCTCCGAGCACCATGCCCTGCACGCTGTGGGCCCTCGAGGTGTACTTGCTCAGTGACTGCATAAAATGGCAATGACTTCATTTATTTGGTTTGGGCCATGAGTGGCTATGAGAAGGGGCGATGCAGGGGAATCGCTGAGCTTGGAGGAAAATGGAACTCTCTGTCCACCATCTGCCTGCCTGTGGCGGCAGTGTCTCAGCAGCCCACGGGGACAAGGGGCTGCGTCACCGATGGGGAGGGATGCAGCCCATGGAAGAGCAATCAACTGGTCCACCGTGGTGGAATTCCTCGCAGGGTGGCAGGTGGGGAGTAGGAATAATTCAATTTGGCTCTTTATATAAAAAATGCACCGGAGCCCTGGCTGGTGTGGCTCAGTGGATTGAGCGTCGGCCTGGGAACCGAAAGGTGGCCAGTTTTATTCCCATTCGGGCACGTGTCTGGGTTGCGGGCCAGGTGCCCAGTTGGGGGTGTGCGAGAGGGACAACCAATCAACGTTATCTCTCACACAGTGCTGTTTCTCTCCCTCTTTTTTTTCCATCCCTTCCTCTCTCTTTAAAAATAAATAAATAAAATCTTTAAAAATATACTAAAAGACCCTATCAAAAATACAATCCTTTCCTTCTTTAGCCCCCACTCCTTTTCTTGAAAAAGGAATAACCTATGATAGTAAAATACACTAATCTTAAGTGCACAGCTCGATAATTTTCACAGCTACATACATGTATTTGTCTGTTCTGGCTGCCATACCAAAACACCAGAAGCTGCGCACTTAAACAACAGACACTTTTTCTCATAGTTCTAGAGGCTGGGGGTCACAGATCCCAGTTCAGCAGGGCCGGTTTCTAGTGAGAACTCTCTCCCTGGCTTGTAGGTGGCTGCCTTTTCCTTGGCTCCTTACCTGGTGCATGCACTCAGTGGGGGCAGGGGGAGGAGAGGGAGAGCCAGTGAGCTGTCAGTGTCTCTTCTTGTAAAGACACTCTCATCCGAGGCCCCGCCCTTTTGACCACATTTAACCTGTATTCCGTCCAGAGAGGTCCTATCTCCACCTAAGCCATAAGGGAGGTTAGGGCTTCCGCATGTGGATTTCAGGGCACACACGATTTAGTCCATATAGTATCTGTATACCCGTGTAACTACCACCTGGGTCAAAATAAGAATGTTTCCAGTGCCCCAGGATATCCCCCAGAAGTGGCCAGTGCACTGACATCTCTCCCTGTCTGCAGTCTGTCTGTTTTAGACCCTCACAGGAAAGGCATGGACGGACATGCCCTCATGTACACCATAGCTTCCTCTCAGTACCGTGTCTGTGAGGTTTGCCTGTGGTATCGTGTGTTCGATGGGCCGTTTTTTTTTTTTAATCATTGTATGTATACCATGGCCTCTTCCTTGAACGTGAGCCCCTGGCCTTGCAGTGGGCAGTGGCTGAGCGGGTAGGCCCCGGGGTAGTGTCTAAGCTCCATCCTTGTGGGTGGGGGTGGAGGGTCTTGTACCTTGGTGACCCTGAGCATTAGGAGAGGACACTTACTTCATGGGCTGTTGGAAGAGTAAAGAGCCTGTCCACATACGGGACGTCGGTGTGGAGCCTGAGCCCTAGCCGGCCCTCCATGAATGCTAACTTGAGTGTTATTATTCCCGGACCATCAGAGGTGTGGTTTGCCTTTGAGGAGATACGAAGCCTTTGACAGGCCAGTGATCTGAGCCTGGTGACAGTGATGGACCCTTCTGGGGGCTCACACAGTCTGAAGAAACTTACTGAGTCTAACCTGGCAACAGGACAGGCTCTCAGGCCCTTGGTCTGCCTGGTGGTGTTCTGTCTGGGGGAGTCATTGCAAAGGCCCCCACGAATCCCCAGCCAGCCTTGCATGTCTGAGTGGAGGTGGTCAGCAGAATGGGGTCTGTGGCATGGTTAGGACGCTACCACTTGTCACCCGTGGTGTGCAAGGATTGAAGTGATGGACATATTATAATGGGCCCCCTGCCCTCCATCCCCAAGCCTGATGCCCACACAGCCCTGGGTGATGCCATCCCGCTATTTTGAGCCGTCGGAGGTTACACAGAGAGGGTGCTTTTTGCAGTTTGTCTTCCAGCCAACACCAGCAGGGCCCCTCCCTGGCCTCCTTGGAAAGCTGTCAGGAGCATCACCTGGAGAAGCTTGCTGGTTTTGGAGGTGCACAGAGCGTGTGACCTTCACCCTGGGCCGGGCCCTGGTCTGAGGGTTCCATGTGGTCACTCACTCACTTCACCCTCACAGCAGCCTCCTGTCGTTACCCCCAGTACAGAGCAATGGGCTCAGGGCTGGGGAAGTTGGGGTCACCCAGCTGGCAGGGCTGGGGTCAAAGCCAGGGCACCTGCTCTTCACCACTCAGTGGGAGGAGGCAGGGCCCAAGGGGGCCTAGCAGTGAGGCCCAAAAGCCTTCGCTGGGTGAACAGATGGATGGCTGGGCGACCATGAAGGAAGTTTCTTCCCTCCCTCCTTTCCTCCCTTCTTTCCTCCCTCCCTTTCTTCCTTCCTGAGGGACTGGTTCTTTCATTTTAAATGACATTTGTCAAGTTTCAGTATCAAAATAGTTGCACTATTGGTTTCTCTTTCTCCCAATCGGCCCTCAGAGACCACACCAGGGGAGAATCCTTTTTAAGCCAGGAAGCTGCAGATGCACACCTAACAGACCTCACAGAAACCTCAGCAATAAGGGGGCCCCAGGTAGGGAGAGGACCCTCGAGATCAGCACACCGCCAGCCAGAGCTTTCACAGCCAGACGGGGTGGCCAGTGTGCCCCAACCCCAAAGAAGCAAAGTCTCAGAATAATATACAATTTAAAAGCAGTTTTGTACATGAACTATTCAAGATTTCTCCGGCACTAACTGATACGAAGCACAATGAGAGGGCACTTTCAGAGACAGCAGTTTCAGACCCGGAAAAGGGTGATGAGATGACTTCCTGTGGCGAAATCAGTGGCAAAGCCACTATTTTCTTTCTTTCAAGGAAGCAGGAGAGGGAGTAACTGGTCACTTCAACATAAGGGACATGTGGTCCATTTAGTGAACCACTGAGAAGGGAGTAGAGATGGGACAAGGATTTGGTCGCAGAGAGGTCTCACCATTTTCATTTATTTGGTCACTTCTTTCCTTTTTCAAGTGTATTTTATTGGTTATCCTATAGAAGTTGTCCTGATTTCTTCCCCTTTGCTTACCTCTGCCCAATACCCCGCTTTTCCCCCACCTTAGCTCATGTCCCCGGGTCATGCATGTAAGTTCTTTGGCTTCTCCATTTCCATGCTGTTCTTAACAGCCCTCTGTCTGTTTTGTTCCTACCAATTATGCTTCTTAGTCTCTGTACCTTTTCCCCCCATTCTCCCCTCCCCGCTCCCAGCTGGTAACCCTCCAAATGATCTCCATATCTGTGATTCTGTTTGTGTTCTGGTTGTTTGCTTAGTTGGTTTTTGTTTTTTTAGATTCAGTTGTTGATAGTTGTGAGTTTGTTGTCATTTTAATATTCATAGGTTTGATCTTCTTCTTTTTCTTAAATAAGTCCCTCTAATATTTCGTATAATCATGGCTTGGTGATGATGAACTCCTTGAACTTACCCTTCTCTGGGAAGCACTTGATCTGCCCTTCCATTCTAAATGATAGCTTTGCTGGATAGAGCAATCTTGGATGGAGGCCCTTGCCTTTTATGACTTGGAATACTTCTTTCCAGCCCCTTCTTGCCTGCAAGGTTTCTTTTGAGAAATCAGCTGATAGTCTTATGGGAACTCCTTTTTGTAGGTAACTGTCTCCTTTTCTCTTACTGCTTTTAAGATTCTCTATCTTTCAACTTTGGCATTTTAATTGTGATGTGTCTTGGTGTTTGGTCACTTCTGATTTTTTTAAAAATTACACAAAAATATACCTTAAAGCTGAAACCTGAACATCATCATCATTATCATTTATTTGTCTATTTTTGGCTAACTCCTCCTGGAATCACCGTCCTGGTCCGCCTGGCGCTCTGCACACGGCGATGACCCCCCACAGTGGGGTCTTCCTCTGGGCTCTGCTTGGCTCCCAGTGAGGCAGGCCCATACCTCTCTCCGTCCTCTGTGGGGAAGGAAATATGGATTAGGCTGAAAAAATTATCTCATGAAGAAAAGTTCCAGAACCAATTACAGAGCCTGGTCCTTGGTCACTGATGGCTCCAGTTTGTATTGCCAAAGACCCAGGTGCTGTGAGGACGTAGAATTCCACTTGCCACCTGCTCCCTGGCCCCTGGAGAAATCTCGCTGAGCAGGAACTTCAGAGGGAGGCAGATGGTGCCCGGGATGCTCAGAGGGACCTTAGTCTCAGTCCCAAGAGCAGAGTGTGGTCGGAGGCCCCGAGCCCCACAGCCTGGGTTCAGATCTCGCGGTGTGACCTCGAGCAAGTCACAGAGCCTCTCTGAACCTCAGTTTCTTTCCGGGCAGAGGGGTGCTGGACGGATGGAGTGACCTGGGCTGGGTCTGTGGTCCAGACTTGGTAAATGTGAGGTGCTCCATGAGCACACTGACTTTTACTCATTTGGAAAAGCTTAAAGGGGGCATCCTGGAAGCTCTCAGTACAAAGGCGTTCGGGCTGGGTGGGGCCGGACGATGGCCGGAGTTGTGTGAGGGGAGCAACAGGGGTAAATGTGGGCCAGTGGGGTGCGAGGCATGTGCTCAGGAGGGGCCCAGGGCAGCTCCTCTTTCCCTTTACACAATCCCCACCTTCCTCCCTCCACGACTGTGTTCCACCCGAGTGGGACCAGGAAAGGCATGACTCTGGGCCCTTGAGTGGCGGCCTCACCTGACAGCGTTTCTGGTTGTCTTCAGGGGAAACTGGATCGGAGAGGCCCCATACAAAACCGGCCGGCCCTGCTCCGCGTGCCCGCCCAGCTACGGAGGAGGCTGCAGGAACAACTTGTGCTACCGAGGTAGGAGATGACTTCACAGGGCGCCTTACGCAAACCACAAACCGGGAGAAGTGAACGGTGGGTCCCAGGGGCACCCCCAGCCCTGTTGCAGCCGCCCTCACGCTCCCTGCCTTCCTCTCTCCTTCCTCCCACCTGTGCATGAGAAGACTCGGGGTTCAACTCCCAGCTCCCTGGGGAACCACAACCTCCCTGGGGTGCCCCCTAGGGAGCATCTCCCACAGCCAGGTTCTGAGCTGGTCTTGGACTGCAGCTTCTACTCAGACGTGTCCACGTCCGTGTGTCTGTTGGCTGGTGCTCACAGTTCGATATAAAACAGACAACAAACAAGGAATTAAAAACAAATAACTAGACTGTGATGTCCCAGGCTAGGCAGGGTTGTCTCTCAAGGGTATGTTTCCCATCCTTGTCCCCGCCGCCGGCCACCCACCCACCCACATTCCCGTCTTGTCCATCCTTCCCCGGCCTGTCATAAACATTTACATTTGCCTTCTTCCGGCACACCTGGAGCTTCCACAGGCTTCCACAGGCTTCCACAGGCTGTGCAGTTTCCCGCTTCTCCCCCATGTGTTTATTGTGGCCACTCAGAACATTTCCACTGGCCCGGCTACTATAAACAATGCACATTTTTCATCCCTAAAGTGGTCCTCACATTTCAGTGTTTCCTCGGGCTCCCTCCCAGGAGAGGTACAGCTAGGCCGAAGGGACTATCTGTGTTTTCGCAGTGAAGATGAGTTTTTCACATGCCCCCTTCACAGGCCTTGTGATGGCTCAGAGGGCCGTGTCAGGAGGTCTGGGCACACAAGGGAGAGCCACCCTCTGTGCTGGGAGCAGGGGACGCAGGGTCAGTCCCATGGGCTCTGGGGTGAAGAAACAGGTGGGCTAGGGTGGGGTTCCCACACCCTCTCGGGGGTTGGGGTATTCTGTTGTTCTGGCCAGCTGTTTACTGCTGATTCTGCCCATTGGGGAAGTGGCGGGGGGCAGGAAAGGTGACAAACCTGGTTTTGAGGCTGGCGCTCAACCACACGATCATATCAGCGACATGGGTGTGGTAACGCCATTCTTTCGTAACGTCTCTCAGGCTCAGACAGGGGTCCATGCCTGCGGTGTGAATGTGTTGGGCACCTGCTGGGCGCTAGGATGTTGCTGGGTGATGTCAGTGGGATAACTATGGGGACCAGACAGTTACAGACCTGCCCTCAGGAAGCTGAGGTCCAGCGGGGTCACCGCCATAAGGACTGATCTGCATCTTCCAAGGGAAGTAACTGGATGCCCCGGAGTTTATAGCAGGAACATTGGCTGTTGTCTAACAGGGTCAGAGAAGGGTTCCCAGAGCAGGTGCCCTTAAGGAAGAAGACGTAGTCTAGAAATGAGAGAAGGGAAAGGTGTTTCTGGCAGGGGGAACAGCATGTGCAAAGGCCTGGAGGCATGGGGCAGGCAGAATGGTCATGAGAGAAAGACGAACAACCCCAGGCAGTGGGGTCTCTGCTAGTGTCTGTTAAACAGAATCTCTCCCGCCTCCCCATTTCCTCTCAGCCACACTCCTTGCCTGTCTCCGCATGCCTGTCTCGTGTGTACTGTCCCCTGATATCCCCCCGCCAATTCCCGGATTGTGAGACAAGCACGGGTTTAGGGGCCAGCACACCTGCTTTGAGAATACCAACCCTGCCATGTTCCCGCACTGGGGCCCTGGACGGGTCACCTCATCTGGCCGAGCCTCAGTCTTCCTGTCCGAGAAGAGGAATAGCTGTGTCGAGTGTTGCAGGCATGGAGGGGCTCAGAGAAGAACGTGCCCTGGCCGGTGTGGCTCAGCTGGGGCATTGTCCCATACGCCAAAAGGCTGCGGGTTGATTCCCAGTCAGGGCACATGTCTGGGCTGCAGGTTTGATCCCAGGTTGGGGCACATACAGGAGGCAACCGATTGGTGTTTCTCTCTCACGTGGATGTTTCTCTCCCTCTCTCTCTCACCCTCCCTTTCCCCTGTCTCTAAAATCAACAAGCATGTCTTCTGGTAAGGATTAAAAAAATGAAAAATATAAAAGAGATGAATGCAGGTGAAGGTCAAATTCAGGGACATCAGCTCCCATCTTCATAGTCCTACTCAGGCAGGTCCTGTGGCCGCTTCCTGTCACCCGGAGGAGTCACGTCACTGTCAGATTTGGGGACCGTGAGGGAAGAATTCCCATGAGGGCTCCTCTGGAGTCTCCCCTCGTGAAGGGTCTCTGTGTGTGCATGGCTCAGAGCTGTCCGATTAAGGCAGAGCAGGGTCATCTTCACCGTCGCAGGCTGCGCATGCAGGTGTCAGCCTCAGTTTTCCCATCTGTAACCGTGGTGATATGGTCCCGTAAATTTCAGCCACAGCAAAGCAGAGAGATGCTATTTACATTGGCCTGAGCAGCCTTCTTAGAGATGGACTGATGCACATCTCTGCCAGGGGACCCCTTTGGACCTCTACTGCATGTGCTGCTGTCACCCTCCGATGTCTGTGGACCAGAGTTGGAAACCCCTGCCTCCCGCTCTCCCCCAGTGAAAGCAATGAGAGGGATGTGAGTTGCTAGCACAGCAACCTGCACATAGTCAGCGCTTAATAAACACAGCTGGTAGGCATCTTAAAGTAGGAAGTATGGCTGCATTTATACCTGCATGGGGTCCTTCATCACCTGGTGAGGAAGGTTGGCCCTCTCCTAGCCTGTGGGTCTTATACATCTCTGGAACCTGGCAGATGCCTTCTCCTCCTTGGAAACATAGCTCTTGTGTCACACCTCCTCCAGGGAGCCTTCCCTGACCACATAGACAGGCAGTGCATGTGCCTTCTTGCTCTTACTGTAGCCAGACTCTCCCTGAACCTTGACCACCTGTAGTTACAACTGCTGGTCCACTCCAGGGCCTCCAGGGGCACGGAGCAGGTGTGCTCTGCCTGCCATCTCCATTCACATACCCCCTAAGCCCATAGAGATGTTTTCCAAGAACAAATACAGGCAAAGATACCTTAGATGCTGGTTTACCCACCCAATGAAGCCTCTGTACTTGTTTCTTTATTTTTGGTGGAAAATATCCAAATTCTCTTGGCAGGCTTGCCAATTTTCTTAGCTAACCATGAAGAAAGTCTCCAGCAAAGTGATCGATCTGCATAAGCTACTTAGTTGGGCATGCGTGGGTAGGGCCTAGACCTATAATGGAGATGGAGCAGGGACAAAGATAGACCGTCAGAGGGTTTTGCACCCCACTAGCCTGGCCAAGTGTGGTGATAAAGGACGTGGGCTTCGGGGAAAGGCAGTTTGACTCGCAGCTGTGTGAGCTTGGGCAAGTCACTTAGCCTCTCTGAGCCTCAGTTCCTCTGTCTGAAATGAGGCTTATCATGTCTTAGGGACCTTAGGTCAATGAGAGGATATTGCAGGAGTGTGCCAGGGGATTCGTGTTCAGTCAACATTACTGTGGGCTTTGTTACCACTAGTAGACCCAGGTGGGAATTTACAGAGTGATGTAAGCAACGCTCTGTGCTCCAAGACCCCCGGTTCGGAGCTGGATGGATGGTACATGCAGTAACCTCGTCGTGAACTCGGGCGTGGAATTTCCCCAGGCCTGCGCTGGTCCACACAGGGGATCTTAATTAGGATGTGCTCAAATAGAGCCGGTCCTCTGGGCAAGCATTCCACTTTTCATGTGTGTGTCTGAGGGCAAGGACTGTCTGCCCATTTTCTTAAATAGTGAGCCCTCAAATGCTTTAGACTGCTTCACCAAACTATATTCAGCTAAATAAAGCCGCGATTATGAGGTATAAAAAATCCTAAAGGCCAGTGGAAGAAAACCTGGCTTATTCCTGAGACAGCTCTGGCTTTCAGTGAAGGGCAAACTTGAGTGGCCACACTGACGGGAAGGCAGACCAGAGGCGGCTGCTCGTGCCAAATGGCATGGCAAACCTGGTGTCTTCATAAAGATTTTACCTAATGGTTTTTGGCTACAAATGATACTTTCAGAATTCCCTTCCTAAATGTCTTTAAACTTCACTGGGAATATATATATTTCAAAGGAATGCAAAGATGGTATTCTGTGGGAGTTTTAATTCTCTTTCATTCAGCAAATTTTGTTGAGCAACTACTGTGTGCTGGGAGCTGGGTGTCTAGAGAGCTGTGCGACAGGCTGACTTCAGCCCTTAGGGAACAGAAGGAGTGTGGGGAAGGCAAGTGTCAGTGAAATCGCAGCTGTGAGCCAGCTGCGCAGAAGCAGCACTGGAGGCCCATGAGCTCCGACAGAACGGACTGGGACTCAAGACTGCAGTTCACCTCCCAGTTCAAATCCCATCCATTCTCTCGGGACTAGATTTGCCTGGGGTGGCGGTTATGCAGAAGGGAATTGGCCTATGAAACAGAAGCAAAGAATTCCAGTCTCGAAAAACACTGGAGAACCACTTATCTGCCCTTCATTAGGATGTTTGTCTTGTATAGACACGAAAAACTTAGTCTGCCCTTGGGAGAAGAGAGGTCATTGCTCTTAAGGAGAAGTGGAAAAAAGGCTGGGGATTGATAAACCCTTGATAGGACTTGAATTTTAATCCAATGACAGGAATAGGCCAAGAGGGAGCTTCATTCCTCCTCCTGGAAATCGTTCTTACCCAAAGGCATCTGTCGTCTCTTTCATTGAGGGAGAGCAAGCGGCAGGGGTGTCCAAGGCTGGCCCACGGACATCGGAGGGGGCGGGGGTGCATGCCGTAAGGGTGCCAAGGGGTCCCCCGGCAGAGGTGCACTTTAATTCATCTTTGACAAGGACACTCAAGCAAATGCAAATAGCAACTCTCCGCTTTGCTTTGGCTAAAATTTATAGTCTGGTATCCTGGCGGCGTGATTTGAGATTCTGGTCAGTAGTTAATAGTTGTCTTGTGTGATGAAAACTGGAAGATAAATAAACTGATGTTTATAGGAAATGCAATTTGTTCAGTTAATTAAAATGTTTTAAAATATGGAGGTCATGACCATTGTTGGAGAAATAATAATGTTTGGGTAGAGAAAAGATTAGGGCCCAATGAACTGACTTTTTTTTTTTAAACCAGGAGTTGGTTCTCACTGGCTCATCCTGTGTGATGGGCTCAACCGTATCGGATAACAAAATTTCAGTGCAGAGAAAAGAGTTGAGTTTGGCTAAGTGCCCTTGACCCACAGGGGTAGAGAAGGAAACAGGATGTGCTGGTGATGAGGGGCCGTGGGGCCCAAGGCCACTGACATGAGTCTTCATGCACCATATTGGGCATGTTCACGAGGAAGACTCCTTTCCCAATGAAAACTTGGGGCCAGGGGGACCTTGGGGAGGTGGCTATGGTTTGGGGTCAGAGGATGCGCTTCCTTGGGTGACTGATGGTGCAGGAGGAGCTGGAGCAAGAAAACATTAGGATAACCCAGGCGTGGGGCCACTGGGGCCTCCTCGCCTCTGGTCAGCCCCGCTGCTCTTGTGTCCAGAGCATACACAGCAAGCACAGCCGGTCCCTCTCCTCTTGGCTGGTAGGATTCCACCTGGCCAGGTCTGTTCCGAAATACCACTGAAATGATTCTTTGTCAAACTAAACCTCAAACAGGTTTCGTTTCCAAGATTTTTTTTTTTGCAAAGTGCATTTTTGTTGAATCTCAGCATTTATTTTTTTTTCCTCCGTCTTCACTATGAAGAAGGGAGTTACGACCAGAAACCCGAGACGGATGAGATGAATGAGGTGGAGACAGCTCCGGTTCCTGAAGAGAAACATGACTGGATCCAGCCGAGGGTGATCAGACCCAAGAAAACATCTGCTGTGAACTACATGAGTGAGTCGGGCTCCACCTCTGCCCTGGGCCACCCCCGGAAGGGGGCCGTTTTCTTTGGGGAAAATGGAGGAGGGGAGCGGGTGGGTCTCGAGTCCACAGACAGCAGGAGCAGGGCAGCGTGCAGCTCCCAAGAGCACAACCCTAAGATATTTCTTTTGAAAAGTGATATTTTTAATTCGTTTCAAAAGTGAGATTTATAGGAGCTGTGCCCGAGTGACACTTTTCCCTGGGGGAGGTATTTGAAGGTTAGACCCGATCCTTTCACAGAAGACCTGGGCTGAAATTGGGTTCCTCTTGGAAGCACAGGGCACCGCAAGGGAAAGCATAGATGTGCAAGGGGGAGGCTATCTCCTGTGAGCTCATCCTGCACCATGCCACTCGACTCTCTGAGACTTGATTTGCTCATCCATAAAATGGGACAATCCTATGAGGTTACTATGAGGATTACTCTCAGCACTATGTGCCGCCGTGTCAGCAGAGAGCTCCCTGTGGTTTGAGATCATCGAGCCTCTTCAAACAGCCCCTTGGGCAGGAGTTGAGTGCTTTCCCCCAGACACCCAGAAGTGCCCTGGACACTCATGCTTACCTCTGTTGTGCCTTCCCGTCCCCTGGTTCCCAGGGCACCTCACCTCCCAAGACTTTTCTTCTTCCTTCTCTCTCTGCCCTGGCTAGAGCTCGGTGTGCTGAGCCCCCGACACTGCAGCCGGGCACTTGTGTACCTGGCGCCTTCACTGCAGGTTTAGGGCCCTTTCTTACAGACACGACCACAGGCGCAGGCTCACTGCCTGCGGCTCTGGTTCTCCGATTCTCCCCTGAGCCTTGAACAGCACAAAACTGGACTCATCCTTGAGTAGGGCCCTCCTCGTGCCTGTCTTGCTCAGAAACTGTCCCCTATATTTTCAACTACTCTCTGCCCTGCCCCCACCGGTCACTCTGTCTCCTTGGGCTTCAAGTGCCTTTTCCCTGGACTTCCTGCCTGTTTAACCATCCTGTGGCTTCTTTGACCAGGAAATATGCTGGTGCCCTTTTCTTTCCAGAAGCCCGAAACAGTTCCATTGGCTTTTTTTTTATCATGTAAAGTTATAATGTATGTCTTTTTGCCCAACTATAACTCTATTCCAAGATTTCAGTATGTCCTTATAAAATAAACAAAAAAACGAAAGCTTGGCTGAGTCATCTTGGCCATAGGGCAGACATCACAGGTCGGAATGCCTGGGTCCTCACTTCCCAGGCTGGATAAGGTGTGGAAGGCCTATTCTCTGGGTCCCTGAGGGTCTAGAGGGCACTTAGCGTGCTCCAGGCTCGCTTCAAGGCTCCACATTCTTGCTCATTCAGTGCTCACAGGACCAGTACCCACTGTTCCTATGTCCATTACTCACAAGCGGAAATTGAACCTCAGAGAGGAAGTAACATGTCCAAGGTGACGTGACCACTATAAACTGTCAGGTCTGGGATTTGAGCCTCACCACTGAGGCCTGCAGCCATTAGGCAATGCTGCTGTTCTCGTATGGCATGGATTCCAGAATGTTCCAGAAAGTTCCTCAGAGTGGGGGGGTGAGGTTTTCTAAGTCAGACTCATCCTCTGGATCCTTGCAGTGATGTTTGTCCCTGCATTTCTCTCCTAGCCCAAGTCGTCAGGTGTGACACCAAGATGAAGGACAAGTGCAAAGGGTCCACGTGTAACAGGTAAGGTCTGGGCTGGGTCCCTCTCTCACCGCTCCCCAGAGCCCTTTGAAGTGCCTGCTGGGGTTTTGGGTCACGTCATGATCGGCCAGCTCATGGCCACCCAAACCAAGCTGGGTAGAAACTCATAAAAAGTGGCATTCTCTACTTTTAGCAGCAACGGTGTACACCAAAGTTTGAGTGGGGAGGTGACTCAGCTTGCTGTGTGTCACAAATTAGACTGGCCAGAGTCCCCGCTGAATGCCACCCTTTATTAAGAGCTTGGCACACAAAGATGATCCATCTCTGGCAACCTAGAGCAGAGCTCCTCAGCCTTGGCACTACTGACATCAGGGCCAGATAACCTGTTGTGGTGGGGGCTATTTTGTGCAGTCTAGGGAGTCGAACAGCATCCCTGGCTCTACCCATTAGATGCCAGGAGCCCCTCTTTTGTTATGATCACCAAAAATGTCCAGAAATTGCCAATGTCCCCCGAGGAGTAAGATCACCCCTAATTGTTAACCTTTGACCTAGAGCTCAGGTGGCAAACACAAGGCCCAAGGGCCGAATCCGGCCTGACACCTTGTTTCTACCCTGCAGCAGTGCCGAGCTCTCACTTAACAGTTAAGGAGTAGTTACATTCATGCAGTCCTAAGCTTACATTCGGCCCTTTGAAGGCGACTGTGAGGCTGATGTGGCCCCTGTGAAAATGAGTTTGACACCCCTGACCCAGAGGTTCAAGTTCTGGGTCTTCTCCTGCATGGATGTACATTGCAGTTAAGTGTCTCATCCCTAGTGGGGAGGAGCTGTTCAGATTACAGATGCTCTGAGTTATTGTTTCAAAAGGCATTTCCGAACTATAGAAATGCCAGATCGGCACAGAGCAGATGTGCTACAGGCGTGACGATCTTGATCAACGTTTTTGAGCAGTTGGGGTCTCCATACCATCCCTCTCTGCGTGGGGGCCCCAGGGCGGCCCGGAGTTCTGTGCGGGGAGGATTGGGCTGGGCGTTGTTAGGACACGTGTGGGCTGGCTGTGCCTTGGCAACAGGGATCCGGCAAGCCTGCCGCAGAACCTGAGTAGGCCTGCTTCCTGATGGGTCCCCCTGGAATGGAGAGCTGCTGCCAGTGTAGCCTGGGTAGTTGAATGAATGCATGTAGCTGTGGGAGCCATTGAGTATTGTCCATTCGGAGGCTGGAGAATGTCTGCCAAGAAGGAGTTTGGTTTTGGCAGTGCAGCTGCTGGGCTGCACTCTCTGGCAGTGAACGGCCAACAGGTGCAGCGGCCTCGCGCAGAACCTCAGGTCCGCAGTAGGAAAACCACGTCATTGGTGGAGGGGTCCTTACTTGACTTCCTATGGACTCCGGCACTCATTCCTCTGAAGCTGAATTGCACCACTAAGCACATGCTAAAGAGAGAAGGTAGCGGGTCCCATTTTATACCACAGGGATTTGGACTTTGGTTTGCTAGAATGTTTGGCTCGGCCTTTGGCGGGAGTGTTAGGAAATAGACTTTGAGCAACCCGGAGGAGGTAGTTCAGGAGGCCCAGACGTCGTCCCCTGAGTGGGGGAAACACGCCAGCAAGGACTGCGAAAGTAAACAGTCAGGTTGTTGGTGAGATGAGCAAGATGTGGCAATGATAAGTGGTGCAATAACTGTCCCTGTGCTGTGTCGGAGGCATCTGCACGTCTCTGTGTGCTGGGTGAACTGGGCAGGAAGCGCTCCGAGTCTGGAGGGCACATCTACTCTGCAAGCTCATGGTTCTAGGATTTTGGGGACGTCCCTGAGTTGTCCCTTTGTGATGATGTGACTTTCTGTCCCACAAGCTCATTGTGATAGCATCAGGCCTGAGTACTCAATGGAAAAGAATGACAAGGTTTAAAGACTATCCTTTGTGAGATAGCAAGGTCCCAGAGTCAGGAGCAGATGGGATCCTGCCTGGCAGGGAAAAGGCGAGGGCCTGCCCACGCCAGGACTGTTAGAGACCTCCAGGCAAGAAACGCAGCACCCCACCTGCAAATGCCAGGACTGTTAGAAACCTCCAGGCAAGAAACGCAGCACCCCACCTGCCACTACCTGGCACGTCCCTCTTCTGTACCTGGTGCTTTTACAAAAGTTATGTTTATTGGGCTTATTTTCCGACTTTAAAAACAATCCTTGTTTGTGTAAGTAATCAGGAAAACGCCCACCACAACAAAGTATAGAGAAAAAAAAATGTATCCAGAAACTTCTCCATGTCAGCAGCAATTCAATGTAGTCCCAATCTTGCTTTATGTACTGATTAGACTGGTGTTGCTCGTGGGGTCTCATGCGTCACTGTTTGCACTTGTGATTTTCCAAAGTCAGAAGACATTCCTGAAAAGACCTCATCTCTGGTGGCTGCATAGCACTCTGACACGTGCCACACGCGTGCCCGGCCGCTCCTCTGGCACTTGCTGGCTCGCTCCCCGTTTTTCTCAGTTATAAACAGTTGGAATAACATGTGGTTCTGACTTTCTGACTTTTTTCTTGGGATATACCCTCACAGGGAAATTCAAGAATCAACAGATTTTTGGCTTTCTGGGAAGATTAATTCATACTTTTTCATGAACACAAACACCATCACTGAGTGTTATTCTATTTAAAAAACAACCTTGCAATCTGACACCTAGAAATGGCAAAGTTTGCCTTCTTTAATGACTGATGTTTGAGGATTTTTTTTTTTTAGTGTCTGGGTGCCACTTGTCTTTCTTCTGTGAATTGTCCATCTGTTCACATCTCTGCCCTAAACCCAGATTGTAAGCCCATGAACATCGTCCTTAAGAAGGTCAAATGGAATCTTGTAATTGTGTTCGTGTGACTCTCAAGTTCGGGTGACGTGTGACTTGCCGGAAAACAATGGATTCTAGATCACTGACACTTTTCTCTGTGCAATAACAGAGGTGTTGAAGAAAAAGAAATAATAATTCAAGGTGATATTGAGCCATTTTTGTCTGTGAAGGTCATTTTCCTTCTTCCCCACCAGGTACCAGTGCCCAGCAGGCTGCTTGAACAACAAAGCAAAGGTGTTTGGAACTCTCTTTTACGAAAGTGTAAGTGTGACCAGCGTTTCTTTAAATGGCTGTGTGCAATGCTGTCGTGGGTTTTTAAAGGTTCCCTTTCTCCTCCCTCGCCCAGCCTCAGGTGTGTCAAGACGACCTGTGAGCCTTCACGGGCTCACAAACCCGGGAAGCCACTACTGGGCCCCGGGACCAACCCTCGTGAACCCGAGTCTCCAGTTCAGACGGAGCTTTAACATGCTCCACTGCGTGGGGAGAAAGGGCTGCTTGTCACTCTCCTTAGTTTGTAAAGCACCTAGGGTGGTTTTTTTTTTTTTTAAGATAAGCCACCCCAGGAACAAAGACGCGTTCTAGAGAGAGGCAGTCAGAGGTGGGGTGAACTTTGGCCCAACTTTTTGGCTGCTTGAGGGTAGAAGACAAACACCGTGGGTGTTGCTGATAAAGACAGCTCACAGAGATTACTGCAGATCTGTTTACCGTCCTCCTCCCCACCCCGCCCCCAGTCCTCCAGCATATGCCGCGCGGCCATCCACTACGGGATCCTGGACAACAGGGGAGGCCTGGTGGACGTCACCAGGAACGGGAGGGTCCCCTTCTTCGTCAAGTCTGAGAGGAACGCTGTGGAGTCTTTGAGGTAACTATTCTGTTACTGGTCTGTTTGGGTCAGGGTTCCTTAGCAGTTTTTCCCATTGTAAAAGTATTGCTGAAACTTTGAAAAGTACTGAACAAGATAAAGAGCCAGGGGAGAAGATAGAGCTGACCTTAATCCTGCAACTCAGAAATTGCCCCATAGGTAATTCAGCATACTTCCTTCTGGTGGTTCTCTCTCCCCTCCTCCCCCCGCCCACACCCCCCTCTAATGTGGTTGAATTTCAGCTTCTGCTCTGTCTTCCTTTCTAGTCTCTGAGAACTCACCAGACACATTATCAGTAACAGTTGATAGCAACTTTGAGTTTCTGGCCAATTCTGGATTAGCACTTTCCCTTACTTACTAAGAACGAGGCTTTTCATTTTTTAAACATACTAGTTTTTTTTACAAGATAATGTTTTTCATATAAGGCATGTGGCTGGTTGATGGGCCAGGCGGTCCTTGCCATTCTGACTTTTGGGGGAGCGGTGAGTAGGCCATGCCCTGACCTGTCTATGCAGTCAGAGGCTAAAGTAGCCTGGGATCATACAGCCCAATGGGGGTCATGGGGTCAAACAGACCTGCCTCTGCCTCTTCCTGGTGCACGACCTTGGGCCCATTTCTGCATCCCTTCTGGGTAGCAGTGCCCTCGTTTGTAAATGAGTAGCATAACAGGACGTGGTGCTGACTCCCAGCAAACCCACGACAGCACGGCGTGTCAGGATCCCCGTGTCAGTGCCTTCCCCAGGGTCCGGGACAAGGGAAACACTGAGCAAATGCTCCTGTGATTGTTCTGAGACAGCACGTCCCATCCGAACTGTGAGGCCACTCCAAATGTTTCAAAAACAACATGAGTCACTCCCCTCTGAAAGGCCTGGCTCTTCTTGGAGCGCTGGAGCACTCCCTGTCCGTCCTAGGCGGGGGCAAATCTGGGGGTTATGCAAGCAAACAAGCAAACAAGCAAACAAGCAAACAAGCAAACAAAGAGCAGGGAATTGTAAACCTAAGTGAAGAAGATGCTCACAGAGATATACCGCTTGGGTGACCTCAGCACCAGCCATGCTCAGGACTCAGCACAGGCAGGACGGAGCTGTGGGCTTGGCCAGGTTCAGACCCTGCGTTGCTGGGGACACTTGTCCTAGAGCCACTTCTGGTCCATTTCAAGACCCAGCTTTGCACCTAGTGTGGGCTCTTCGGGTTTTAGAGTTCAGAGAATCTGCAAACATCGACATAAAGCAAATTAAGGCTGTATTTTCACTAATCCCTGACTGAAATGTGACATTTCCTTCCATTCAGAATGTTGGCCCCAAACCAGCGTAGCATCTGCAGGGCCGGGGATGCTCGCACTGGTGGACACCAGCGAGCTGCACGCACCTGCAAACGCTGTCCCTTCCGTCCTGGCCCTGAAATGACAGCAGCCACCAGACCCACCCCTAGACTATTTTTAGTGCAACTATTCCTCGAGCGCTTATTTATTTTAATACCTTGATAGTGATATTAATAGTAACTGATTATCTTTTAGTCTTTCCTTTTTTCACATACATTTTAAAGTTGTCACTCTGAGGAGGAGTCCGTAGGCTTCATCAGGCTGCCAGAGGAGCCCTCGGCACGGAGAAGTTGATGAGCTGAGCCCTAGAAAGTCCTCATTCTAGATCCTGCTCTGGGTGCTCTAAGGGCTTTCGGGCTGGTGGGAGACAAGCAGAAAAACGCTAACTTGAGGCTGTAAATAAAATAAATGCAGGAGCAAGTGCGCACTTGTCGAAGCCATTCTGTTTACATTTACCTAATGTTTCCTTTTATAGTAAATACAAGGCGTCCAGCTCATTCACGGTGTCAAAAGTAAAAGGTAAGCTGGTGGCCTTTTTTTTTTTTTTTTATGTGACCATAATATGTGAGCTATCTTGGGTTTCCCTGGAAATGTTTTTGCTGTAATGTTTATCTTGCCTGCTAACATTGCTGTTCTAACATGGTAAAGGCTTTTTAAAGAGGTTCCTGAGGAGGCCGACTCTCTAACTAGTTCCTAAACATATCTGAACTTGGCATTGGCCCTCCCTAGAGTGCTAAATCAGAAACACAGGCCTGGCGCTCCAGCTGACTGTCACAGAAACACCAACTCCTGGATCTCCAGCAGCCAATAGGTGGCATAGGGAGGTGGCATTTCTATTGATTGACAGTGGCTGCCTGGAACAGCATGTTGGGATGGATGCTGAGGCCTCATTCTGGGCTCAGCAGAAAACAGAGCCTGATAGATTACTAATGTCTGCCGTGGACAAGAGGGCAATGGGTATGCTCGTTTGGTAGGGTGGGGTGCACCCATGGGGGAGCACGCTGTAGTCACTACCTCCTTCAGACCAAGCCCTTCCTTCCTGCGGCTGTCCGTGTAAACCCAGTTTTATTGGCACACAGCTATGCCCCTTCACGTGTGCATCTGTGGCCGGTTTCTCCGCAGCAGAGACCGTCGGGCCCACCAAACTGGAAATATTTACTCTCTGTTCTTTTAAGAAAGAGTTTGCCCCCACTCTGGACTAGATGAGGACATGCTGTCAGAGACAACAGGTGGTCAGCATTAGAGCCACTTTCTCACATCTGTTGTTCAAACAGAACGCGTGACTTTTAAGAGTCACCAGGCTCCTTCGGAAGAGCTCTAGGCTGGGAGTTGGAAACCGGGGTCCTCACCCAGGTCTCAGCTATTCTGAGCCTCAGTTCTCTCATCTGTATAATTAGAATAAGACCTGCCACGAGGCTCTGACCTGGTGAAGTAGGAGAAATGTTTCAAAATCAAAAAGCACCATGCAAGTAAAAAGGGTTGTCAACCCACAGAGAAGCTTTGCGACTGGCAGATTCCTTGGCCAGTAAACACACGCAGGCACGGGTTTTGTCTCACCCCTCGAGTGGTGATAGGTGGAATGCCCGGAGCACTGGGGCTGACACCTGCAGGGCTCTCACCCCAGCTCTACTGGCGGCTCAGTGAACCCCCAGGACCCAGTTGTCTAGCAGCCTGATGCACGGGCCAGTCGTTCGAGGCCCAGGCTTGCCCATCCCCTAACCCCTTCCTGATGGCTTCTGCTCACAGTGCAAGACCTGGACTGCTATGCCACCGTCGCTCAGCTCTGCCCATTTGAGAAGCCAGGGACCCACTGCCCAAGGTAAGCCTCACTGGCATCTGGCTTTGCAAACATGGGGACTGAGGGAAGAAGGCACCGTGCTGGGTTGCAGGTCATCTTTTGGCAGTGAAGTCCAATGGAATTCCAGATATAGCCCTTGTATGTATACACCCAGGAAATCAGTCGATTCATGTTCAAAGTCAAGGGTCCACTAGACCTTCCCTGAGGCCGCTGGTTCTCAACCCTGGCTGCACATTGGAATAGCCTGAGGGACATTAAAAGCACAAATTCCTGGGGACCACTGAAAGCTGAATCTTCAGGAGTGGGCCAGAGACAACCAGCTTGTTTAGATGCTCCGGGGTGAGCCCAGTGGGCGGCTGGTCCCCGGAACCCTGCTCCGGGAACTTAGCTGAGAAGGACTCTGTCCTCTTGATGTTGCCCCCACTCACTGGACAGAGCCCTTACCCTTGCAGGACTGACTTCATTCACCACGCAGCTCCTCCCAAGCCCCTCAGACCGACCTCGAGACTCGTCACTTTTTGGTCTCGTAGATCAGTCCTGAACTCCGGAAGCTTTGTGCTGCTTGTCCAGTTTAAATCAGCTCATTGATTCTTCTACCAGATCTGTGACATTTTCTATGGCTAACTTTAGGAGTAGCTCATTAAAACCCAGTTTTTGAGGTATCATTTGCACACAATAAAATTCACCCACTATACACGTATGTTTACAAATCAACATGTTTTGACAAATGCACACAGTCAGGCAGCCACAGCCACAAGCAAGGTGGAGAGCATTCTCTTCACCCTAGAACATTCCCTGCAGTCAGTCCCTTCCCCTCCACCCCCACCCACATCCTCGCCAACCACCGATCTGCTTTCTGTCCCTCTGATTTTGCCTTTTCTGGAATTTTGTATAAATGGAGCCATCACAGTATGTAGACTTTCCTGCTGGGCTCCTTTCTCCCTGCATGCCTTCAAGATTCATTCATGTTGTGGAGCGTACCTGTTTCATTCTTTCATGTCACTGTGTGGTGTTTCGTTCTGTGGAAGTACCACCATTTGTTTAAAGACTAAGTTTCACATGCATCTTTCGAAACTTACTTGGCTGATTTTAGAGGACGATGCATCATAACATAAAATAAAGAGTGTCCTCATAGCATTTGTCTCCGAAGTAGCCATTAAGTCCTCTCAGAAGCTGGGTGAGGTATGTAGCACCCTGTGAACCCTAATCCTGGGTCTGGAAGCTTCTAGATTCTCCAAGGGAAAGATTGACCTTAAAGCTAACAGGTGGAAACCTCGGAGGTGTGAGCAGATAATAGCCCCAAGGAGGAGCCCATAAAGGGGAGGAAACTGTACAGGGTGTCCCTGACACCCTTCTGCTACTTGCCTTCATCTGGGAGCACCGTCTCCCCAGCCCCTACCCCCTAACCCCCACCCCCCACCCCTGCCATGACTACCACCACCGCCTCGCTGACCCCTCCCAAATGTTCGAGTGCAGATAGCAATCTTTTAGTAGATTTCCCCAAATATTAAAGAGAAGCTGAAGGAAATGATTTCAACAAAAACAAACATAAAGAAAAACTTGACATAGTACTAGTATCTAAAATCTAGGTTTTTGACCTGCCATTCTAGAACATCTAGGAAACAATGTTCATTCTTACCTAAGTTTCGTTTCCTTTTTTTTTTCTTCTTAATTTCTCACACACACATTCTCTTTCTTTCTGCTCACCCCTGCCCCCTCCCTGTACCACTTCCATTTCTCAATCCTTCCGTCTGGCTTTCTTCCCTCCCCAAATCCTGCCTGTCTCGGGGCCAGATGGCTTCCGGGTGCCATTTTGGTTCCGTGATCCCTGGGCTGCGGCCCGCGGGGTACTGTTCCAGATGAAGACAAAAGACCTTTTCTTCGGTAGAGTTCATGCCTTTTCCTGGGCCCACCCACTTCCAGTTTGAGGCATTCCTCTCATCTCCCTGATGCCGATGGCGGGGATGTGGGGACTGACACAGCAGGGATCTAACCCCTTCCCACCCCAGGTTATCAGCTCCCTCTCCCTGGAATATTCGGTGACTCACCGAGGTGAGGGCCCTCCACCCTTTCCTCCCCCCGCACAGGGCAGTGGCCTTCCCAAAAGTCTATTGATTATAATCTCCGTAATACATCCACAGGATGAACTGGCCCACACCCAAGAACGGGAGGTGCAACATTTTACAATCCCACACTCACTTCTCAGATATTTATTCCCCTTCACCTTGTTGTTTGCTTGTGTGTTCTTGTGTGGTGTGTAAAAATTCGATATTAACTATTTAAGAAGAGGAAAAATATCTTTACCACTGCTAGAATGGGAGAATTTTTTTTTTCTTAAAGCATAAACAGCGTGGTAGGTTTCCTTTCATCTAAGAACTTAAATCTTGAAACTCAAATAAAGAGGGCCAGCTGCTTCTCATAACCGTCACACAAATGCTCCCTGTTTTCCAGAGTTCATTGTCCGGCGCACTGCAAAGACGAGCCGTCCTACTGGGCTCCTGTTTTTGGAAGCAACATCTACGCAGACGTGAGTATGCTGGCACTTTCAATGACCACCTCTCAAAGCCTGTTAAGACCTCAGAAACCACGTCCCAAGGTCTGGATACCAGAAACCCGAGATCTCATTCCTGTCCCTCCAACTAAATTTAGACCAGTTATTTCTGCAACTATTGCCCTAGATTCCCATTTATAGAACTATTTGTACTACTACCTATGTATGCGTATGAATACAGAGGCAGGTGTGCCTCATCTTATGCAAACATTTTCATAGTTCGGTAAGTTGAATCCTGCTTCCCCACTGACATGAGTTTTTAATGTGAAAACTTTCATGTGTCACATACCTCATTTCCCCAGATATTTAATGACCTTTCCAGCTCTCCCGATGCATTTAAAGATACTGGTCCAATCTACTCACTGCATTTCTTTTAGGTTATGTATATACTTAGCTACAAGGACATAGAAGAAAATATAAATCACACAAATTTTCTTCTTGTTAATAACCATTCTTATTAAATTGGAGCCTGCTCTTCCATAGTTCCCTCCTAACTTTAGCAAGGAAGCTTTAGCCTGATTTTCCTTAAGTAAATCCTCCAGAACATAGTCTGTTCCCTTCAGCGCCCCAGGGTTGAGGGACGCGGAGACCCAGAAGATGTGAACGTGGTCGCTGCTCTGCCCAACAGTCTGTGTGATCTCGCCAAGTCATGTTCTTCACTGTTAAATGAGTCAGCTGGGCTTTTCTGATTTCCTAGTCCAGGGAACCTTCTGGATCTAAATTTCCATGATTAGATTAGCATCGCTCATCCCTAGCTGGCATTTTTACTCCACCTGTTCTCCTCTTTGTTTTTGTGGCTTATCTCACTCACCGTCACCACCTTTGCCTCCATCTGCCTTCCTTTGTTCCAGATTCCTGTCAACGTGAGAGCATCGGGTTCTGTGAGGTCAGAGCGCCCTCATGGCTAACCTTTTTCCCCCTCTTTTTTTTTTCCTCTTTAAATGAGTCATTTTTTTCCCTCAAAAGCTGTTTAGCCAAAATTGAGTTCTAAAAGTTTAATAAAGGAGTAAAGTTATATCAGTTGCAATACTAAATGTTTGAAGCAAAGTCTGCTATTAACAGACAGAAACTTGGACTTCTAAATGATTTAAAAATAAAGGGGTGGATCAAGTGATTCCAGCCAAATACAAAGAAGCAAACAAATAAAGTAGGAGTGGCAATACTTCTGCCTTACAAAGTGGAATCGAAGGTTAAGCATACTGAATGGAACAACAATTAATTATGCAATGGGACGAAAGTATCATATCTATAAAGATATGAAAACTAAATCTATATGCACCAAACAACATAGCAGCTAAATATATAAAACAATTCCCCCCAAAAGTTAGAAATGCAAGAACTTGATGGATATTTAGTAATAACATAAACCTGCCTTTCACTATGTTTTAGATTCTTTTCAAATACCATCTCTAGGTTTTGTTATCCCCATCTTACAGAAAAGGAAAGTAAGGCTCCAAATAACCTGCCCCAAATCACACAAGCTAGTACATGGCAAAGGTGAGATGCCAGTGAAGGTGTGTCTGTCTTGCCTTGGGCTCTGTTCATTCTGTACTCTATCATGCCTTGCTTGAATGTACCTGCTCTCATAGTTACACCCATGTGAATAGGCACGTGGGTGAAAAGCTGTGTGAAGTCTTTAACTAACTCATTCTCCTGGGTTTTGAGGTTTTGGAACCACGGTGCTCATGACAGGGCCTGGCACACAACAAGTGTTCAATTAACATTTGTTGAAAGAATAAATAAATGAAGATACTACAGCAGTCAGTGCTTAAACACTCTTCAGAAAGTAAAAGAAGGAAGGAAGGAAGGGAGAAAGAAAAAGAGAAGAGGAGACAGGCAGGGGGAAGAAGGAAGGAGGGAAAAGAAGAAAGCTACCTCCGTTACAGAGGTTCTTTTCTGGCTTTGGTTTCTAGGTCACTCTGTATTCTGGGAAATGATGATGCCTTTTGGAAAATGTCTGTTTAGCTAAGAAATTTATTTTGGGAGAGTTGTCTCCAGATCTTCGAAGGTCCTAATAGTGCTGTAATCCTTGCCTGCTCACCCAGAGTGCATTACTTGGCAGACCCCTCATTTTGTGGTGAGCTGCAGGCAGGGGAAGCATTAGGGCGTAGCCCAAAGAGCAAAGTCTGGGTCAGAAGACAGGAGTTCAAGCCCCACCTGTGACATTTACCAAGCTGGAGGATGGTAGGCAAGTCCTACCTCCCCCAAACCTCAGTTTTCATCTCTGTCCTTCCTGTCTTCCTTGGTGGCCGGACTCATTCTCACAGCTGTATATGCATCAGAACCCCCTGTGGGACTTATTCAAACAGACTTCCAGGCCCATCCTCAGCACTTCTGACTCAGTGGGTCTGGGGTAGGGCCTGAGCATCCACATTTCCCACAAGGTCCCGGTGATGCCCACGTTACTGGTCTGGGACTACACTTTGAGGACCACTGGCTTAGAGATGGCATTTCCTTGAGAGCTTTTAATAGTGGTGACAGTGACAGTGATGATTATGGCAGTGGTATTTGTTTTGTTAACTAACATCCCTCGAGCACTTACTGTGCGCAAGCCTGCAAACCCAGGGAAGTTCTCACAGACCCTCCAGGCTCCCAGAGTTCTCCCTGCAGCTCCTGGGCCTCGCAGACCCCCTTGGAGGCCACTTCTGGCTCAAGGGCCTCGCCCTCATCTGTTGATTTGTTGCAGAAGTTGAAATGTATTAACGCGGGATTTAAAAAACTGACCTTCAGGTAAATCAGTCATGGAATCTGTCAAGAAATCCAGTTCTCCGACGCTAGTATGAATGGGTGAGCTGGTTCTGAGGCTCTCCACTTTTTACAATTTTTAAAAAGATTTTACTTATTTATTTTTAGCACAGGGGAAGGGAGAGAGAAAGAGAGGGAAAGAAGCATCCATCTGTCGCCTGTCATATGCATCCCGCTTTGCGGGACGCTACCCAACCCACTGAGCCACACGGGTCAGGGCAGAGGCTCTCCACCTTTTTAACAGCAACGTTAACTTTCCAGGGAGCGGCAGGGAGGGCAGTCTTCTGCTAGGAAGCATTTTTCTTCCTGTGCAAAACCAGCACTGCCTGGAATGGCCCTGTGTGCAAAGGGCGCAGCTGGAGGGCGCGTCCCTGGAGAGGGCCCCGTGCAGCTCTCGAACAGGCTGCTGCAGGTTGGTTCTGTGTGGTAACACGCTCAGCGATATTTCAAATTTTCAGAGAGCCCACCTTCTTCCATTTTCTCATGTCTGGTGTTAGGGTCCTGCTAGATGGACTGCTTGTCCCATTCAAAGGGTAGTTCAGGGTACCTCTTCCAAACACAGAGTGGCTGGGGACAGTGGTAAAAGGATAGGGGGACAAAGGAACTTGGAGGGCTGTGCCAGGGGGACAGAGGCTGGCTCACCGCTTTTGGGGCTGCAATGGTTACTTCTAGAAAACATTCTTCTCCAGACTTAGGTATAGCATTCTCCATCTCCCTCTCCCCCCCTCCCTCCCTCCTTCCCTCTCTCCCTCTGTTCCTCTCTCTATCTCTTTCTCTTATTGTGGTAAACTATACGCACCGTAAAACTTCCGCCTTTACCATGTTTAGGTGCACGGTTTCAGCAGTGCTGCATACACTCCCGTTGTTGGGCAATAGGTCTCTGGTTTTTCATCCCGCAGATCTGAGACTCTGCGCCCATGGAACAGCAGCTCCCCGTGCCCCCTCCCTGGCCCCTGTGATTTCCGTCCTGCTTTCTGTTTCTGGGAAGTCGACTCCTCTCAATTCCTCCTGTGAGTGGAATCCTATAGGACTTGTCTTCTTCACTCTCTCGCTGTCTTCATGAAGGAGGTGCTAGCTTGGTTAACCAGCTGTTGGGAGCTTAGCTGCCCCACTATGCAGAGGGGTGACGTGAAGAGACAGCAAAGTCCAGCCCCGCCCTCCTGCTGAGTGGCCCATGCCTTGGTGGTGTTTCAGTTTTCCCAGTCAGGACGCAGTTGGCAGAGGCCTCTGTCCCCTGTTCCATGCACCAGACAGGATAACACAAAGCACAGCTAACCTGCCCTGTCCACCCTGTCCACCCTCCACACACACGGAGCCCACTGGCAAAGCCCCCTGTGATGGCCACAGGTCACTAGGTCGTGAGTGAAGGCGGGACTGGAGCCAGTCCTCCCGCCCTGGACATATCGGGTCTGACTTTGTCTTTAAGTTGGCAAATTGCTGGACTAGACTCAGCAGCTGACTCAGTGAGTCTGGTTGAGCCCATCGTTGGGTGTCTCTGAGGCCATTCGGTGGGTGACTCTATTTTCTGTAAACAGGTATCCCCCACTTTCCAAAAGTTCACATAACGTTTAAAATACTGAGACCTGAGCTTTGGCCCAGAGCAACTGAATTCGGTGGGGTTGGGAGGGCAGGGGGATCTCGGCATTGTCATCAGATGCTGCAGGTGGCTGAGTCGCTGTGAGGGTGGGGACCCACTGGCAAGGCTGGAGTGGGGTAGTAGCGCAGGCCAGATGACAGGATCGCAGAAGAGGCACGAGGGTGCGACCTCCCTGGGCCTGCGCCTTGAGTTCGCACCAGGCCACAGGGCCCCCCGTCCGGGGAGACTGAATCCGTAGGCCAGGGTGGGGCCCGGAGCCCGAGTCTTCAGCAAACACCAGCCACCCTGCCCCTGAATGAACTTGAGAAATGTCGATTCATTACTCTCAGACAGCCCAGCCCATTTTTCTATTGGATAAGTTAAGGTCCTAATGACTGTTTAACTCAAGGGTTTTATTATCCAGGAATGGGACTATGTGATGAATTGAGAAAATAGCATGTCCTGCCCCTGCTTGAAACCCAGCAGCTCCCTTGCTACCTAGAATAAATTTGGTCCCCAGCTATGGTCCTCACAGCCCCACATGACTGGCCCCTGCTCACGTCTCCCACCGCTCCCGCCACTTTCTGCTGACTCATCCTCCCCGGGCCTCTTTCTATTCCTTGGACGGGGCCCCAGGGCCTTTGCACAAGCTGCTTCCTCGGCCTGGGATGTTCTGCCACCCAAAGACATTGCCATGGCTGTGGCCAGTTCCTTTTGGTAACTCAAATCTAAGTTCAAATGTTACATCAAGAGCAACCTTCCCCGATTAGCTGCTCTAACATTGCCCCTCCACTCAGCTGTTTTATCCATGATCTGACCTGTGTTTTCATGGCCTGAGTTACTTGTTTTGGCGTCTGTCTACTTGTCTGTCTCCCTCCACTCTGTGAGGACAAGGTCTTCATTTTGTTCCCTGTGGAATCCCCCTGCATCCAGGACAGTGCCCAGCACATAGTGGGTGCTCAGAAAATATTTGTTGAAAAATGAAGGAATGAATGAAGTCAGGTCTTTCTGGAGAGACCACTGAGGAACCAAGGTGGGGACGGTTGTGTCCTTGGGGTTGCGTGGCCAACACCCTGCCGACCTGGCCACCAAGCAGGAGGCCGACTGCCCTGCAGCGGCCTGACTTCCTTGTCATTGACCACAGCCCTTCCTGTGCTTTCAGACCTCTAGCATCTGCAAGACCGCAGTGCACGCGGGTGTCATCAGGGACGAGAGTGGGGGCTACGTGGACGTGATGCCCGTCGATAAAAAGAAGACGTACGTGGGCTCGCTCAGGAACGGGGTCCAGTCTGAGAGGTAGGGCTGTGTTCTCCGGTGCTCGGAACTCAAGGCTGGTGGGGGCGGGGCCAGGGTGGGGTGGGGTGGGGGTGGGGTAGGGGCTAGCAGGAAGGCCCTTGACGGGGCCCTTTAAAATGAAACTTGGGCAGACTCACGTTGATTCTTATGCAGCACAAGCCTATTCCCTCCTCTTCCTTTCCTTTTTCAAAATAAGAACTTTTTTCTTTCTATTGCCGATACATGATTTTTTAGAAAATTTAGAAACATCAGATGAGTCCATAGAAAAACAATCATCCATAACCTGTCGACTGGGGGAGTTACCGTCAGAATTGCTGTCTGTCCCTCTGGTCCCTTTTCTGTGTGCGTGCGTGCCTGCCTCCCCCCACTTCCCAGAGCCCCCCGCCTCCCCCCACAAAACAGTGGGGTCAAATTGTAGTTAACGGGGTTATATATGGCTACATAATAATGTAGTTACACATCATCACATACATAAGAGCAGAGGGTCAGGAGCCCAACAGACCCGGGCGCCGTGTCCTGCCAGCTCCGTGACTTGAGCGAGCAGCCGATTCCTCTGAGCCTCGGTTATCTCCCCTGAGACGTGGGGATGAGGGAGCGTCTACCTCACAGGGTGGGTGGGGTAATTGAGATGATGCCCAGCTCCTCGTATGAGGACACCTGTCCTACTGGGTCAGGGCACACCCTCGTGGCCTCATGGTAATTTAATCACCTCTTCGGAGGCCCCGTCTCTCCAAACACCGCCATGCTCTGAGGGTCTGGGGGCTGGGACTTCAGAGTGTGAACTGGGGAGGGGCGCCGTTCGGCCCATAACAGAGGGGAATGCCGAAGGCGACATCTGAGGGGCCCTCTTTAGGGAAGGCATAGAGTCAAGGACACAGAACGTGCCGAGGCCCCTTGAAGCTTCAGCTTTCGTGGTTCCGTGGAGCTTGGCACCTGCCCCCACCTTCTCATCCTCCCAGAGCACTTGGGAGCCTCCGGAAGGTGTGAAGGCCTGGAAAAATCTAGGGACGCTAGTCACACGCGTTTCTTCCCAGGGGCCCCTGCGCTGTCACTGCCGCAACCCCGGACAGAGAACCGCTAGCGCGAACCGCTCATGCAATTTCTCGCTCAACATTTGCAGCCTTTGTTTGGGAGAATCTTAATGAAGGGAAATTCCATTGATTTAATGGGAGGGAAATGAAGCAGCTGATGAGGTGGAATTTCCTGGCCGGGCTGGAAAGAAATCCCTGGGCACCAATCTGCTGAGCATGTTAAGAGAAACAGTCGTGGTAGGTCGGCCTTTGTTCCCTGCCTGCACTGTCCTTGAGGACGTGCCAGCGGCTCCCAGGGCTGCGACAAGGGCTTATTGTGCAGCCCCCACAGGTGGGTGTCTGGGAGAGCAGGGGGCAGAGAGGGGGTCCCGAAATTGAAATCGGCTTCTTTCCCACTGTTACGCAACCCTCCACCCCAAGGAGGCCCATCTTTCTTCCCAAGGGACCTGCTGCATCGCCACTGTCATTAGGAGTCTCCTCCAGGCAGCCTTTCCCAGGCCGATGGGGCTGCTGCCTGCCAGTGTATTCAGAGAGGGGCGAGTTTCAGAGCGGTGAGAGTTGTGCAGCGTTGCCACAACAGATGCTGCTTGAGCGTGTTACTCCATCTTTCTGTGCCTCAGTTTCCTCACCTGTAAAGGGGAAGATGATAGCTTCTGCCCCCCAGGTGGTGGTACGGTTTGGAGGATCCCAGTGTGGGCCCTCCAGGCTAACAGCATCTCAGTCAACCAGGGGCTTGTTAGAAAAGCAGATTCTGGGGCCACCTCAGACCTGCTGAGTCAGGACTCCCGGAGTGGGCTCAGCCGGCTGTGTGTGGCACGCCCTCCAGAGTCCTGATTCAGATATTTTGCAATTAAGAGTCATTCACATACTGCATACGGTGTGCCAGGCCCTGCGCCGGCACCCACAGCCCCGAGATGACAGAATCCACCCACACATGCAGCGGGGAGAGGCCAGGCCAGGCGGGCACACAGGGCTGATGGCATCTGGCCCCTGCTGCACTCTTTGTTGTTGGGTAGGCAGTGTCCTCGAGCCCCAGTTCCTCCTCTAGCGAATGGTTGCCATGACACTGAAATGAGACAGCATGTGCAAAGTGCCTCCTGGTGACACATGGTGAGTATCCCATAAAATTGGTGGCCCTTCCTTCTGTGGCATAACTCCTAAGGTCTGTTGCAAACCACACAGGTTCAAATAACTTGATCGTAAGAAACAACCTGCATGGAGTTGCTTTCAGGACAAGGAGGAAGGCAGCTCACAGGAATTCATTCATTCCTCCTTATGTCCACCCTTCCAACATGCACTCACCCATTGGACGCATTGCACTTGGTGAGGCCTTACCGTGTCCCGGACACCAAGACCCAGCAGGAAACCTGGCCTGACCTTGGCCCGCATGGAGCTTAGTCAGGGGTCCTACGATGCAGAAAGGATGGTAGCAGCAGGGCTCAGAGCGCAGGGCGCTCCTGTTGTGGAGGGAGGTGCAGAGAGCAGAGCACATCAAGCAGGACCCTGACTTGATATCCAGAGGTGCCTCCTTGGTCACATGGCTGCAGCGAATGTGTGGACATCTGGCTGTGGCTATGCCCCATCTTCCCTTTGCTTAGGGGGACCCCCAGCCACCCTCTGCACAGAGCCCAGGGCTGAGAAATTTCCCTGGAGCCTATTCCCATGAGGGATTGTGGGAATCAACCAGGGACCAGAGGGTGCCTCTGTCCCCAGTGTCTGCTGGGACCCTAGAGTGGTCACTGTCAGTCCCAAGGGAGGTAGGGGCTCTGGCCATACACAGCAAACTGCGTTTTGGATTCAGGGAATCCTTCAGTCTATCAAACAAACCAGCGAACTCTCCTGAACAGAATGGTGAGCACGTGGCCCTAAGTTGGTTCTGCTTCAAAGCAGTATTGTTTAGGCAATGTCTTTTTCTACGGTAGAAGAGGATTTCCTGAAAGTTTTGAAAAGTGACCACACAGAATTGGGACAACGTCAGAGGACAGGCCCCTTCCCTGTCTCACACGGGCACATGAAGGACAGCAGAGGAAGGAAGGGGCATCAGGAAGAGCTTTTATGTTGGGACTGGGCTTTGTCTGAGTGGTCTCAGGAAGAAGCTGGACTTTATGGATACCAGTTCAGGATTTTTTTTCTTAGACCAGGACCATTTTTTAAGACAGATTTCACAAGGAGATTGGGAAATGTACCAACAATGACACGGACAGCTGCTTGGTCCCTCCCAGGACATGTCACCCTGCTCCGGGAGCTGCCAGCTGTGCTCTGTCTTTAACCCAGTGTCTGCGGTGTGGTGGCCAGTGGTGATCAGTTCCTCCCCGAGTCCTGCGTGCTGGCGGCACTGGGTCCCAAGTCACGGACCTGCAGGCCCCTGCCTCCCGAGGGGCTCCCAGCATCCGAGGCCCCCACTGCGATCTGGGTTAGCCAATGGCATCTTCAGAATGGCCTGGCCATAGTCCGTCCATTCAGGATAATGGCTAGAAAGGGGGCCCAGAGCCTTGACAGACCCAAGTCTGCATCCCAGTTGCACCTGGAACAGGTATTGCATTTGGAGCAATTTGTGTCACCTCCCAGAGCCTTGATTCCCTTCTGTAAGTGGGAAGCACCTTAGAGATCTCATGCAGTTACTGCCAGGTTGGATGGGTAGGGCCACGTTGTAGAGGACTGAGGCAGCATCTCTTTGAAGTGAGGAGCGTGTGTGCTGGGCAGAGCTGTGGGCACGGAGGGAGTGTCGGCACCTGGGACGGGGAGAATGGCCCTCAGAAGTTGGAAACCATTAACCAGGGCTGAGATTGGGACCCCACCTGAGGCTACAGACACATTTCCCATGGTGCCCTTGTCACAGCTTGTCTAGTAGATCAGAGCTTCCTCGTGAACTGAGTCAACCAAAGGGAACTTCTCCAAAGCTTCCCAGGCCAATTTAGTTTCCTCCCAAGTTATACAGGGGAATTTCTAGGTTGGTTTTCCCTCCTTCTTTCTCCCCTCCCTCCCTCCCTCCCTCTCTCCCTTCCTTCCTTCCTTCTTTCCTTTCTTTCTTCCTTCTTTCCTTCTTCTCTCTTCCTCCCCCTCTTCTCCTTCCTTTTTTTCCTTCTTTTTAAAATAAGATTAGAGAAATTTAAAAAGCAATGTAGTTAATTTTAAGAAGTTACTATCCCTGAAACTCCAAAACCCACAAAGAACTACTATACACAGTCTGCTGTTTCCTTCCAATTTTTTCTGATTACACTCCAACACCGTACTTCTAATTTCTTTATAAAATGAGATCATACCATCTGTATCATCCTGTAATTGGTTTTTTCAGCCAGCCACAGAGCATGGCTGTCTTTCCAAGTCCTGTTCAGTGTGGCCACAGTGTCTCAGGGGCTGACACTGTCCCTTGTGTGGACAGACCATGGTTTCTTTACCCAGTTGGTGGGCATTGTGTTGTTTCCTCTTTTATTTACCATGATAAACAACACTGCAAAGAACATCTTTGCACAAGCCCTTGTCTTTATCAACACTTTCTTTAGGTAACTTCCCATTGGTAGAATAGGCACAGCTGCCAAACTGACCTCTTTATGTAATGCACAGTATGTCTGTCTTCTGTTTGAGCCTTGCCCCTGATGGCTTTCCATTGCAATGAGAACCAAATCCCATCCCCTGACCACACAGGGCCATACCTGGTGCCAGCCCCGCCCACTTCTGCACCCCTCCTGGTGCACTGCTCCTCCTCATTGCAGCCCTCCACCTTGCCAGCCCTCTCCCTGTTCCCGGAGCACGCCAAAATCACTCTCACCTCAGGGCCTTTGCACGTGCTTTATCCAACCCTGGATGCTCCCACTCCTGTATATTCCTGTGGCGGGGTCCCCCTTGTCATTCAGACCCACACACAAATGCCACCTCCCTGAGGAAGCATTCGCCTACCAGTGAGTCTACAGTCTCCCTCCTCCTCCCAGATCTGATGTGATCCCTCTGCCCTGGATTTTATTTTCCTCCCAGGGCCCACCACCCTCTGAAATTATTGCATACATGTATTTGGCTGTTTATCTCCCACACCCTAGACTGTAAGCTCCAGGAAGTCAAGAACCCCCCTCAGCTCTGTAACCCATGTCACCAATACCTAGGCCAGTGCCCAGCACATAGTAGGCACTCAACACTGTTGAATGGCAGACAAACTGCTGAGTTTGTTCAGAACTGATTGAGGGATTTTTAATACCATTTATGAAAATTATTTAATACCCTTTATTAAAATTGTTCAATACATTTTATGAAAATTGCCCAGAAATGTGCCAATTTACACTTGCTTCACATATGCATGGAAGTTACAAACTAATCCAAAACAGAATCAGAGGGCAAGATTTAGAAAAATTGGTTATTTTGTAATTTCTCAAATCACACTTGTTTCAAACATGCACAACTGTCAGCTCACCTGGAGGGACTGGTGCTTAGCAAGTATTTGAGGCGTGAACAAATGGACTCTCTGAAGGCTTTTCCAGCGACCCAAACGTGGGGGATCCCTTGCCTGAGGCAGTGCATGGGACCACCACCTGGCATCGTCACACTGACCCCTTTGGCAGCCTCGGCACAGTGTGTGACGTGTTAAGAAATACACGCCCAGGTTAGCGGGCCTGCTCTTGCCTCCCAGGTGGGCAAGTTGTTCAGTAGGGCTGCTCGGTAAATCCAGGCAAGACCTCCATGTAGCTCAAGGTACCTGTCTAGATGACAGCCTGAATGGCCCCGGTCACTGCATCATTTGGGGCCCTGGGAATGGTAGAACCCACTGCCCCATCCATAGAATTTGTAGTCGTACGTAAGTCAGAGGAGACACAAATCCTGGTAATTTTCCCCAGTGTGGTTGGTCTACCATGCGGAAGAGCCAAGTGCCTTGTGGCTCTGGGTGGTTCTCCCAGACTATTCATTTAGGCAAAGAATCTGGGGAAATCTTGCCGCCTGGCGGGCTGAGGAGGGCCTAGGACCTGAGCTTTCCAGAAACCAGCTGGGCAGACACAGTAAATCCAGCCCCCGCATGGTCCGGCAGGGACAGCTGACACCGAGGCCACCAGGCCAAACATTCTGCTGTTTCTGGGCCCCTGGCCTTTCCTCACAGCTCCATCTCGCCAAGGGCTCCTATCTGATCCATGTTTCAAAAGTTCAATCCCAGGGTAGCCAAAAGCCTGAGGCTGTCATGGGAAGGGTGGGGGGACAGGAATTCCCAGCAGTGTGTTCCCCGAGGATTTCTGACCTTAGCAAGCAGCCTGAGAGGGCAAGGCCATCTGTCCAGCCCAGCAGTGTCCAGCCTGGATCCCTCTTGTCTGGATAGGGAGTTCTAAGGAAATGTTGCTTAAATCGCGGTTGGGCTTTCATCTTATACTCAAACTCATTCCTAATGAGCAAAATGCAAATTAAAACTGTATTTGGATGCCATTCCTAGTTTAGATTGGCTGAGAACAAAAAGCCAGATGACATGCTGTGCTGGCAAGCCCGCGGGTTCCTCGGGCTGCCTCACGCGTGGTTGACGGGAGATGTCAGTGGGTGCAGGCTTCACGGAGGGTGATTTGGCGAGCTGTGCAGCCTGCGAGTGCCCGCACCCCTCCGTCCAACTATTTCACCTCTTTGAGAACCCGTCCTTGGGCGCTCTCGCACGTTTGCAAAAAGTCTCGGACAAGGCTGTTCTCTGTAGCATTGTTTGCAGAAACAAGAGCTTAGAAATAACTAAGTGTCTATTTAAAAGGACTCAGTTAAGTATAATACTTTAATACAATAGAATACCGTGCAGTTGAACAAAAAGCCTAAGAAACGCATCCGTGCACAGAAAGCTGCAACCAGTGGCCACGACCAGTGGCCGTGACGCAGTAACAAATGTTTGGAGGGGTGTGAAGACACAGGAACCCCTCGGGCACAGCCGCTGGGGATGTAAAGTGGTGCAGCAGCTGTGGAAAACAGCATGGCGGTTAAAAAGAATTAAACAGGCATTTAATATACAGCCAAGCAATTCTGCATCCAGGTCTCCACCCAAAAGAACTGTAAAATGAATGTCCATACATACACTTGCACAACAATGCTCACAGCAGCATTATTTGTAACAGCCGAAGGTGGAAACAGTCTAAATGCCTATCAGCTGAAGAATGGGTAAATAAACTATGGTGTATCCTCATCACAGAATATCATTTAGCAATAAAAAGGCATGAAGTATTGGTCATGCTACTGCAACACTGAACCTCAAAAACTTCACGCTAGGTGAAATAAGCCAGCCAGAAAAGGCCACATAGTGTAGAATTCCATTTACTTGAAATGCCCAGAATGGGCTAATCTATAGAGACAGAAGTTGTCAGGGCCTGGAAGGAGGGGAATTGATTATAAATGGGCATGAAAGATCTTTTGGGGGTGGTCGCAATGATTTAAAGCTGGATCATGGGGATGATCGCACAATCTCCTTGCCAGTAAAATGGGAAGCTTAACAGCACCTACCTGGAGGGAAGGTAAAAGGCATTTACAGAGCACTTTGCACAGTACTCGGCATAAAATCTGAGCGCAGTCGAAGTGCCCGTTTTAATCACGGCAGCAATGCATTATTGTTATAACACCATCCTATTAATCGGTCAGCCAGATGGCCACTATTTGGGTTGACAGGTGTTAGCAAAAATCAGGCAGAAGTCTTGGAGGGTGAATTCAATTCAGACAGACTGGGGCCAGTAAATCCCAGAGTTTAAAGAAAATAACTTAACAACCCTGACCTAGATTCAGACCCAGGCAGAGAGAATGGAATTTGCCAGCTGCTCCTGGCCGGGGCAGACTCTCTTTCCAGCAGCTGTGGGGAAGTGTCCCTCCCTCAGCCCTGGTTCTTCCACCGTGGGGACCGGAGGGGCGCCCGGCGCTTCCTTCCCAGCTCGAGTGCCTACAGAAAGTCCTCTTTCTGCAGATAACATGCCTCTCCCTTCCTTTGCAGCTTGAGGACCCCTCGAGACGGAAAGGCCTTCCGGATCTTTGCTGTCAGGCCGTGAACTTCCAGTGCTGGGGAGAAGGGGGGTCTTCCAGAGGGCTTCTGGGTTTCGCTTTTTATTTTTATTTTATCATGTTGGGGTGGGCTGGGGACGTGGAGTGGCAGGAAACTTCCTCTGAGTGGCGTTCAGTGTCACATCCTCCATGCCTTGTCTCTCCTCTGTGCGGGGAGAGACAGCATCTCCCGGAGCCTGGCCGGACAGTGGGTGACCGGTCCTGCTGAGGCCTGGGGGCTCCCTCTGATGCCCCCTCTGCACACACATGGTCACCCAAGAGGGCCCTTCCCATGTGTTCTTCGGTGGGGGGAGAGGATTCCAAATCCTCAGAGGGAGCACCAGGCACGGAGCTCACAGTGCAAGGCCATCTGGGGCACAGGAGGCGGCACACTGAGCACACACAGGGGAGTTTCAGGAATGGGGTAGAAGGTAGTTATTTAAAAAATGTAAAAGCACAGTCCATCCCTACCAATGGAGAAAAACGAGTTTAATGTTTGCTGGTCAGACAAATGGGCCACTCGGGGGCTGGGGAAGTGAGGCTCAGGCTCCGCCCTGGCCCCCCGTCCTGGCTGGCGCCCTGCCCCGAGCAGGCTGGCTCTCTACACAGCAGTGCTGGTTTTTTTAGAGTTCTGTAGTAACTCCGGAGATTTATCTTGTCTTTGTCCTTCCGTTTGTCCACGTGGCCCGTCTGTTCGCTGCGGTGACGTTTGGTCTCGTTGAGGACTAATGAACCAGGATCCTTTCTTCGCCCCCTGCCCACTGTGGCTCACCTCCAGCCCGGGCTGGTTTGTGTGTCATAGTTCACACCAGGGTCTTTGCTTCGCGAGTGATTCTGTTTGGAGCCCACTTAAAAAAAAAACAAAAACAACTCTTAGTCTCTGTTGGTTTCACTGAGGTGTCTAAGAACAGCCCGAGAAGAGCTGTTCAGTTGCTGTTTTTTTGACAATGACAATTAAATGTGCAGATTGCCCCTCTGTTTGGACGACCTGGTTTTCAGCAGAGGGAGGAATGGATTCCTTAGTGCCTTCTTCGCCGAGGTTAGCAGCTCTGGGAAGAGGAACAGTCTGTGGTTATGAAATCGTCCTGCGGCGTAATAACCACAAGAGAGGGCAACACTCTAGAAGGATTTCTCTTCCTGTTTGTGTGGAACGACTCTTGCCAAATGTTCCCGAGGCTCCGAGGAGTGTGGTGCTCTCTGGCTCCCATCACTTTATAAAAGTTCTTCATAAGCCCAGACCAAAACCCACAGTGAAATAAAATACCCTTTTGTAAATAGCGTTTCTTTACAGAAGGTAAAATTCCACCCTCCAGCACCAGGCTGGCTGATAGATCGCTTTTGCGAGTGCCAGTTTCGAATTCGATTTCACTCTTCATCAAAATATTTCGGAGGCAAAGGAATCAGCAGGGGCGGGGTAACATGGTGCATTCTTGAGTGCATTCCTAATCAATGCAAAAACTGAAGGTAAAGAGCTTCTCCCCTCCCACTTCAGGGAGTCTGCATCAGCAGTGGAGCTCCTTGCTGGGCAGATCTGAAATGAGTGGGCTGGTGCTTTCGCTGTGTGCCTTGTGGGTCTGCAGTAATTCACAGGTTCTGACTGTTCAACCCAAATGTCAGAGCGAAGGAGTCTGGTCAGCTTGTCAGACATCGTGTCTGGTTGCCTACAAAGCTCTGAGGCACTTGGAAACTTCCAGATATTATGTGTTGGACTTCTGCTGGTCACCAGCCTTTTGTGGCTGCGGCCGTGCCTGCATCGAGCCTGCAGTGAGCCTGCAGTGTGGGGTTTGGGAATTAGTGACCGTCCCGGGGGATGTCAGTGGGCTTGCTTTTGCCGCCTCCCACCCGTGCCAGAGTCTGGCGTTTCCAGAGCGAGCGGACCCCCTCATTTTAAATTACGTTCCCGGCTTCCTGCCTGTCTCAGTACGTGGGCCCATCGCCGGGACAGAAAGTCCTCTCCCAGAGCCAGATTTGTGTCTTTTTCATCCTCACAAACATTTTGAAACTGGAAACATTTTTCTGTGGGAAATGAAAACTAAGACTAAAATTATAAGCCCTGTAATCAGGGGCCACCCCTAATTTTGTGTTTAACGGGGCCCGTTGTGCCGTTAGCACTTAACCCGTAAAAAGATGGCCCGTCGGGCCGGCGGCATCTCTGGGTCTCCTGCCCCCAAGGGACGAGTATCAGTTGGCTCCAGATTCCTGTCCCATCCTGTTCTGACATTTCGCAGTGTCTGCAGGCTCACTCAGCCCGCAGCTTACATGTGTGCTTTTTTTCTATGAAAAATGACATATTTTACTACTTCCTATGAACAAACGTTTATTGTAAAAAAAACCAAAACATTGTGCTTTGCATGAACAGGGACCACATTGCTGTTGTTTCAATAAAACTGGTTTCATTTCTAAAACATTTCTGTGATGTATCTTTTATGGACAAATCTGAAGAGTTTGTGCAATAAAACCTTTGAAACCTCCTCGCAGGCTGTTAGTTTGTTCACACCACTTCCACCGGGAAGGACCATGGCACACGGGCGCGGAGACCCAAATCACTGCTGCTATTTCCGGAGCCTTCGGGGACCTCCACCTGATAAACAGGAAAAGATGTTGCTTCAAGTGTGTAACACAGGGTGGGAGGCACCTGTCAAAATGCAGATTCTGGTTCAGCAGGTCTGCTGTGGGGCCCAAGAGTCTGCGTTTCTCAGGAGCTCATGGTGATGCTGACACTGTGGGTCCCCACATCCTATCACAGTGGTGAGTGGTGACAGGCTCAACCTCATTCTGTCACCGTCTGCATCAGCTTGGGGTGTCATAACAGAAGAGCACAGACTCGGGCTTACACAACAGAATTGTATTCCAGGTCTGGAGGCTGGAAGTCCAAGACCAAGATGGCGGCAGGGCCGGTTTCCCCTGGGGCCTCTCTCCTTGGCCGCTGGACGGCCACCTTCTCAGTGGCATTCCTTTCCTGTGGGCATGCACCCCTGATGTCTCTTCTTCTCATAAGGCCACCAGTCCTACTGGGTCAGGGTCCCATGCTTATGACCTCAGTTAACCTCAATCACCTCCTTGAGGGCACCATCTGCAAATACAGTCACAGTGGGGGGTTAGGGCTTTAACATGTGCACTAGAGGAGGGGCACACAACCCAATCTATGACAGTCACCTTCTTCCCAGGCAGCCACCCCCGTTCCATGGACTTGAGATCACGTGTCCCCCGTGTTCTAACTCACTGCAGCCCACCAGGGATTTTGGGGGGCACCTCATATAGTCCCGCTGTTTATGACAAGTGCTACTCTTCCTCATTGACGGCAGGGAGAGCTTCCCTCTACAATAAATATGGCTAAAGCATTTCAGATGGTAATTTTAAAATATTAAGTAAGCAATTGTGTAGCTGGGTTGCCAAAATCACAGAGGTTGGATAATATTTGCCTGATGTTTGGGGAACTCTGATTTCTGACAAAAGCGTTGTCAAGTTCATAGAAAGGCCCCCTGTGGGCCACTACCCCGGGGTGCTGGAAAGCCTGTCTTCCCAGCCCTCCTCCCTCAGAATCTGCGCGCAGCCTTCCTCAGCCTTCTCATGTCCTGACGTCCCAGGATGCACCATCCTGTGCCTCAGCCCCTCGGCCCCAGGCCTCCAGTGCGGAGAAGCTGCAGTGGCTCCTGGGGGAGGTCATGGTGGTGAGGGCAGGGCTGCCGCTTCCTTTCCGCAGATCTCATCCGAGACAAGACGAAGGCCTGTGGAAGCTGTGTGACTTCAGGCTGGGCTCTGTGGGGCCCTAAGCCCAAGCTGCACTGCCTGGGGACCCACTGACAGAGCGTGCTCTGACACACAGCGACACAGGTACAGGGAGCCAGACCTGGGAACCCTCTTACCAGCTGCAGGACCTCCAGCAAGTCAGCTTGCCTCTTTGGGCCTCGGGCTGGTCATCCAGAAAATAGAAATTTACCACTGCCACCTCATAGCCATGTGAAGATGAAATGTGGTGAGCTGTCGGTTAAAAAGTGCTCAAGGCGCATGCTCGGGGCATGGTGACTATTTGTCCCAGTTGGAATGCTTTTGGCTGCAGGTAACAGAAACCTCATCTAATGGCCCCAGGACTTGTTCAAAATGCGGGTTCTCAGGCCCCAGCCCAGACCCACTGAGTCAGAACCTCTGGAGGGCGCCCAGCACCCAGGTGTTCAATAGCCTCCAGGGGAGTCTGATACTTGTTCTGGTGGGAGAATCATCACTCTACAGACACCCAGATATCTCAGCACAGGAGTAGCGGGGGAATGATTCAGGGGCTTCCTCTTGGTGACGCCAGCACACCTGGGTGGCATCTCTACAAGCCTTTCTCCGCTCCTCTGTGGTCATGACAGTGCCATGCCACAGGCTGTCCCCACACTCTGCGTTTGAGACAGGAGGAAGGTGAGGGCGGAGGACTGCTTCCCACAGTGTTCTCTCTTGTGTCGGGGAAGAAAATCTGGGGTCGCAGCAGGCCTGTGTTTAGGTCCCTTTCGTCATACACGGCCAAATCCAAGGTCTGTCACAAGCACTTGTAGAAAGAACAGAGAGATTTAGAGTGGGGAGGGGATGACCAGGGGGCCATGAGATCTGCCTTTAATACGTAAAGGTGTGCTGCCATAGGAGGCAGCGTGTGTGAGAGTAAGGGACAGAGTAGGACAAGCCTCATTTGAATCCCAGCTCAGCGCTTTACCGGCTGTGTGATGCCAGCCAAGTTGCTGAACCTCTCTGAGCACCAGCAGCCTCCTCCACAAAAGGGTGATAATAACAGTGTCTGCCCACAGGGTGGTTATGTGGATTAAATGAGGTCAAACTTGAGACATGCTCGGCACTTGGTATGCACACACAGCTGCCACAGAGGGTTACTTGCATTGTTTTGCAGAGCAGAACTAATGCCCATGGGAGCACGTCACAGGGAGACAGGTTTCCACCAAATACCATAAACGACCTTATTGTAGTAGGCTTTAGAGGGGTGATAGCAGAGCAGGGATGATGGGCCAGGTGCAGAGGGTCCCCAGGCTGGAGAGCCCCAGGTGCCTAGCAACAGGCAAAACTACAAGTCCTCACGGGACCACTCCCTTAAGCAGTAACCCCTGGAGATGGCATCCTGGCCTCAGCTGTATTTCAGCTCCAGGCCCAGAAAAGCAGCAAAACCAGGGAGAGGGGTGCCTTGGCTGACCTTGGGACCAGCTGCACTGACTGATGACCCCCTACCCTGGTGCCCACCAGTCAGTGGTGACCACAACCCTGAGGAGACACTCCTGGAAAAGCCGATGAATATTCTATTGAGATCCTCCTCTGACACCTCCAGATAAAAGCCCTCAGGTTGGAGGAGTGTGGCTCTCTTTGGAGCAAGCCTGTGCCTTTCCCCATCCCTGTCTTTCCCCAGGGCATTCTCTTCTCTTCCCTTCCCTTCCCTTCCCTTCCCTTCCTCTCCTTTTCCCCCTCCCCCTGCCCCCCCCCTTCCTGTCTCTCCTGAGCTCCAAGGGTCCTTCTTTCTCTGTAACTTGTTCTCTGAGCCCATTTCTTCTATGGCTTGCTTCTTCTGCTTCTGTGACTTCCTAAATAAACTCTCTTTTATCATTTGAATCTTGGCTGTGGATTTTTCTCTCAGCTCAGTTCAACAAACTGAAGACCTGAGGCTGTTGAACCAAGGTTAACACCTGGTACCATTTTTCTGCTGCTAACATTATAACTGGCAGAAGTGTCCAAACATGAAATGGCCCATGTGAATAGGGAGTGAGCTCCCCATCCCTGGAAGAATATAAAGCAGAAGGTGGAAGAATCTTGGACTAGGTTGACTTTAAGGAGTTGCCTCATCAGCCCTGCCCAGAGGGGCCTGGGGACCCAGGGAAGGGGAGACATGGAACTGTTGAATCCTGGACCCTCAATCCATGGCAACTTCACTCTATAAGAGAAAAAATAACCCCACAGCCACGTAGGTGGCCCCAAAATCATTATGTTTTATTGGGTTGATTTTTGTTTGTTCGTTTACCCATCTTCCTTCCAATTTTTCACACCAAGCCAAAGCCTGTCCTAGACTGCCACTAGGGCTTAAAAAATCTTTTAGACCCTTAAAAAAATAAATCTGGTGCCAAAGGCGCAGGTTTTGAAAACCTCATGACATTCCTTTTACTCTTTCATCTTGGCCAACTGAGTGGGTAGCAGCCTTCAGCCAAGAAGCAGGAAGACGGGCCCTTAAGCCAATTCCCTCTGTCAGCGCCTGGCCTGGCTCCGCGGTGGGCAGGAGGCCTCCCTGGGTGCCCTTGTGGCCACCACGCTGGACGGGAACGGGCCAGCTCGTCTGCAGGCACGCTCCCAGCTCACCTGCTTTCACCTTCTTTCACCCCTAGTGCTGCGGTCCCGAGGGTGTTTCCTCCGTGCCCCACTGCCCCTGCACCCGTGTCTGACCAGGAAGATGGCAAAGAAATTCACTTGTGCCAAAGTGCGCCAGGAGGGGCACCGAGCTTGTGCTATCCCATTTAATAAGCCCACATGTCTTTCAAGGGCTTGCTTATTTAATTATGTTTGTCGAATATAATTCAGGTGCTTTTTGGTTTTAGTTGTCCAAGTGTCATTTAGAAATGCATTTAGCTGCACGTAACAGAGCCCCACTCACAGAGGAAGGGAGGAGGCCCAGGGGTCAGTGCTCTGGAAGTTCTGATGACCAGATTCCTTCCCACTTCCTGCTCTGCCATCCTCCGCGTGCCCTGGGTCCTCCTGGTTGAAAGGTGACCAACGGACAGCTTCACCTCTGGCCGGTCGTGCATTCTGGGAAAGAGGAACAATGGACAAAGGAAAAGCAATATGGCAGCTCCTTCCATCCCTTTGATTTCAGAAAATTAATCAAGTATAGAATGTCTAATTGGTTCTTTTTCCAATTGTCTGCAATAGTTCTCTCTCTTTCAATTTTTTGAAGATTTTCTCCTTTTAGACTTCAGCATAGGTATGCAGCAACTCGTACCTGCACCTGGGTCACCGTGGGGCCAGTCACTGTTGATTGTCTGTTTGCTTGAGCAGAAGCTGGTCAACTTGCCCCTTCTCCACATTGGAATTGGGTCCAGAGTGCCTTATCCCACTTTCTCTTTTCAGGCTGTCATAGTTTGAACTTTTGAATCTTCCCAGTATGACTTTCTGAAGGGCAGGAGAGGAACCTGGAGCCCGCAGATTTGAGTTCAAATCCCGACTCTACCACAAGGTTTCCAGAAAACCTTGGAAGCGTTGCTCAGCCTCTGTGCCTCAGTTTCCTCACATATACAATGGGGATGGGGGTAGCAGCTACTTCATAGGGTTGTTAGGAGGCTCAAACAAATGAATGTAGTTTTTTAAAAAGTGCTTGGAAGTCTGGCACATAATAAATGCCACAAATATGGGAGTTGTTACAGCTACTCATGCCATTACTCTGGCTTCTCCCTCGGGGGAGGGGAGACCACAGCAGAACAGCAGAGCAAAGGGGTCTGTGTCAGCTTCTGAGTTT